TTCATCACACTGAAGGCAAATTAACAAGGCCAAGGAAAGAACGACTTTGCTCCTGGAGATCAGTGGTGAACCGTGACTATTAGAGCTAGGCCTTCAGTTTGTGCTATAAATATCAAAACCCAGTCAAAAACCAAGAAAAAACATCTCTATGGAAAAGTTAATTTCTGCTAGTAACCAAATGGGATTTCTAATAGTGTACTAGCACTATGCTAACGCTGGTGCACATGGATATTTTTGACCACTCTGGTTTAAACAATTAAAACCTGTAACATATATTAACATGCATTTTACCTGTAGTAGTATTAACAGAGAGTCCTTCAGTAAAGAGTGCTGGTATATAGCTGGTTTCCATTCCTAACAACTGACTGAAACCTGGTTAGACTACGGCTCACATTCATATGGTTTATATTCACAGTCAGTGTTGTATGAAGTCTGTCCAGAAGGCTTAGAGTGACTTTTTCTTCACTTAATTGGTCCCACTCTATGCTAATCAAAATGTGATTCATGAATTTCACTGTTTCCAGTTATGTTGGTAGTTTAGACCTTCTGTCCAGCTCCTGAAGGCCTATTCAATGGGAAAGCTCACTTGGCTATATTTACCTAAATACTACAAACAAACAAACAAACAAACAAATAAATAAATAAATAAAAATGTAAAAGATTGATTGTTTGATTGGTCACCTTTTCTAGTGGGCATTTCAAGGTTTTAATCCTTTTGTTTCCAAACCATAACTTAACAATGAAATAAGAGTAGGACTGCAATACTTGTACAGTTTAAATACAAGAAGCATATACATACATCATCTAAACTGCTTATCCTTCTGGGTCACGGTGGGGTGCTGGAGCCTATCCCAGCTGTCATTGGGCGGAAGGCAGGATACACCCTGGACAGGTCGCCAGTCCATCGCAGGGACAAGAAGCATATGATTCTACTAAATAAAAATGAAATAAAAATTACAGACATGTGTTTTTAGCTCCTGGAAATCATTAGCCCTTCCTTCTTTGAAGGTCTAAAAGACCCTGAGGGTTCCCAACTGCTGGTGATCTACCTTCCTGCAGTCTATTTCCAAACTGCTCCGGCTAATTAAATGCTTTGGAAGTCCTTGACCGAGTCGTTCCTAATCACATTACTGCTTCCATCACGCTCTGCATATTTTTTTGTTTTATGTCATCTACACACATGAACATCTAACTAACAAGTCATTAACAATCCTCCCCATGAGCTGGGTCAGGTGTATTAGCATAAGGAAAAAGTCACCTGGAATGGGATTGGGAACCACTGAGCTATGTTATAGGCCAGGGGTTCTTAATTCCGGTTCTGGGCACCAACTGCAGAGCGCTGGTTAAAATGCACCTAATCCAAATCATGTAGGGCTTAATAATTAGTTAATGAGTTGAAGCAGATGTGTTTGGGCAGAGATTTCTTGAAACACTGCAGTAGATCCCTAGAACTGGAGCTGAAAACCCCTGTTGGGTTAGTGGACTTGTGTTATCACAATATTTCACAACTCCACTCCTGAGCACCCATTTACTGCAGAGTATATCTTCTCCTATGTGGTGTATCATTAGCTAATTATCAGCCTCTTCTTGGGCTGAATCAGGTGTGCTAGAGCAGGTCTGCAGTGCAGGTCAAATACAGGAGGGGAGTTGGGAAACACTGATGTAGGCCGCCAACGTATAGCCTGAAAGATTAACCATTTTCATATCAAAATCGCATTTTGAAAGAGTGCAAAATTCAAAATCGCAAGAGCTGCAAATTAACCTAAAAACACGAACCACCCCTGCAGTGTACATGACAAATACAACCACAACTAAGTGGCAGAAAATAGCAGCGTTCAAGCTTTAAAACATAAAAAGTAGAGCTTCTGGTCTTCTTGCCCAAAATAACAGGCCTGGAAATGGTTCAGAGTCCGAAGCACATTTCTTTTAACTGACTTGGACTTTAGACTAAAATCATTCTGCTTTGAGTGACCCTATACCTTAATTAGATTTACTTTATTAAAACAAATGATTAAATATACCATTTTGTCACTGCTAAAATAATCATAACACTACAGATCATTTTTAGCTAATTATGATTTAGCTAATTATTACATGTCTAGAAAACGCAGCTTTGAACACATATAATTGCACACACATAAAATCATATTTTTCAATAAAACACAAAAAGTGTGTAGAAAATGTGTTTTGGTAGTGACAATTCTTAATGTTACACACTGACTTTCAAATTTTGGGACACTTTTACTTCAAAACAAGGGGATCTGACTGCTCACAGGGATGAGAGGGGTGCAGGGATGCAGTCTCACTTCCTGCTAAAATGCATCGCTGTGGCTGAAATTGAGTAAAATGGACTAATACGCTTGTATTTTGATATTAACCTGAAAACATGGAATGGCATTTTTTGTAGTTTTTTTAAACTCTTAATAAGTCTAAATCTTTCAACTTCACTTTAAAAGAAATCAAAAAGACATTAAAAATATTGAAAAATATTGTCTTGGATTTCCACACTTCTTTGTTGCAGTTTTCAGTGAATCATTTAGTAAAATATTTTACTTGAAGCTTAACTCTGAATATTTCTAGAGGACTCTGTTAGCTATACACCAAGCTGGTTGTTAGGCATAACTGTGTTTAATATTGTTTCTGTTCACATACCTGTATATTCAAATTACCAAGCATGTTGCGTTCCATGTGGGTGTTCTCTTTTTTGGGTTGGGTTCCCATCCCTTGTCCTGGAGCAGCCTGCACATTTTTTTTTGCTGGCGTAACACACCCACATCAGCTCAAGAAGGGCTTGCTTAATGGGCTGATTGTTTGCATCAGGTGTGTTTGTAACAGAGAAAATACTAATATGTGCAGGGTAAGGGGTACTCCAGAACCAGGGTTGGGGACCACTTGGATAGTGTAATGCCATTTCCACCCGACGTCATACATAAAGCTAAAAACTGTGTTGTTATATCTGATGCGGAGGCCGTCACTCAACTGGCTGTCACGAATATGCAATTTTTGCAGTCATACCAGCAGCATGTCAGTCTGCACTTTACTGATATAGCCTTAAATTTGATGTGATAGATAGAAACAAAGGAATTTTAGGAGATGAGTTTTGACATAACATTAAAGATGGGGGGGGATGCCGGGTCAAAGATTTCTACTTTACACAATGACAGAGCCCCATCTAGTGTCACATCTTTGGTATTGCGCTTAAATTTACAGTATTTCTACTGTCAGAACACCTTTTGAACTAAGGCATGAGAACAATAATCTGTTTGTTAACTAACTGCAAGTCACTAAGACGCATTTTATCTGCTTTGTGTCAGGAACCATGACTAATGTTGTTGCAACAGCAATAACTTCGCCACAACAGCAAAAGTAGTGTAAAGGTTGTCACAGAGAACTTACACAATGGTTTAGACAGAACTACATTTTCATTTCTACATATGAAACTCACATAACCACCAAACCCAATGGTCATTTTCACATTACTTAAATATGGGGCAGAATTGTCAGGTTTGTCTAAAAACTTTTGCAATAGCTTGAAAAGAAGAAGATGAAAGTTTCAGATTCATCATGGGGTGTATATAATGTCACTTAAATGTTTCCCAGCAAGCCCACTTAGGACTTGACTAATGGCTCACTGTGGGCTGCCTGCCCAGGGCCCATGACATTCTGTCCAATGGCAAACTATTGGCCCCTCACTGTTGGCCTTGGGCAGCCCTAACTAACTGAGGGTTTTTGTGCAGGTTTGTCCAAGTCCACAGCTCAGCGGGCCACATTCTGGAATGGTGGTGTGGGCCCAGTGTGGGGTATGCATGCAGAGCCCCATGTGGATTTTGTGAGGCCTTGCCAAGGTCAAGATTGTCTAGAGTCAGCCCATAGTGAGCCAATGGTATGCTGTTAAAATTAACATTTTTCCAAATTTACTTCACATTCATGGGCTGGGCTTTACTGGCTTTCATTTACTGGACTGTGTTATTTCTGAATTTTCTTTTTAAAAACTGGTGCCCAGAGGAAAAAATGTCTTTCTTAAGATTGTCTCAAAGAAGAAGATCTCAATATTGTATTAATGATGATAATGACCACTGATTTCTGAATTCTCTTAGGAGAAAACAGGTTAACATAAGCATTTCACTGTAAGAAGTTCTGGTGACGAATTAAAAAAGGATGAGTTCTCCTTCTACACTGAAGAGTGTGACATAGAATAGAGCTATATTAAGAAAACGATGAGATCATACACTCTTCTTATGGAAATATTATTCCGCTAAGACTCGGGTGAGATGAGTCACAAAAGAGTTGATCTATATGCGTGACAATATTTTGATCAAAGTATGAAAATCTGAGGGTTACTTCTCAGGAGCCACATTTCAGAAACCGGAGAGAGGTAGCTACATGAGATTAAGAGGAGATCTCAATTCAATTCAATTCAAATAACTTTATTGGCATGAATTGTAATGAACAATTGTTGCCAAAGCAATTAAAATATCCTAGTAGATATCATGAGACTGAGACATCTGAGATGGCATACTGGCAATGCAGCAAGGCAGGCATGATTCAGATAAAAGGTGCATTTTTATATAACGCAATTGAATTTCTCATCCCACCTTGTGACAGTTTGAAGAGTGTTCTTTTGTGCTAATGATGATTCATTCAGAACCGGGCAATTCCAGGATGGAAAGGGCAGCTGTCTAACGTATCACATAACAGAAGAACGGTTATCTGAAGAGGATATTAATAGCACAGAGAAAACATTACTAAGAATAAACATTAAAAAAAAATGTAAAAATAAATAAATAAAAAATGTTAAGTTTCAAACCAGTAATTTGTAAAAGAAAAAAGTAAACATACTAGCATAACAGCACACTGCTAGCTAGCAATCGTCAACTAGCCTCCTCGTTTCCTCATACCACAGTTCCAGTTTTACTTTCGGTTCTTTATTGACTTTTTGCTGTACTCAAAGACAACATGCTTATTTTAAACTTGAGGGCACATTTCACCGAACAGATTAACAAAGGTGTTTTTTAGGTCGTCTGTGTTAAATGTTCGAGCCCGTCAGGCCGAAGAAGCTTACAGTAACAACAAATAATTTACGCCCAGGAATGAGGAAGAAGACTCCGAATTTCCTTTTTTTTCCTACAGAGGATTTCTGACAGTACACACCTTTACGAGCCAGTGAATAACCCCCAGCCGAGTTCACTGAATTTTTATGAGCAGCGCAGACTTTCTGAACAGGTATGTGACTCTTCATGCCTCACAGACTGACTGCATGAACTGTACTTACTGTATTAGTGCGACAATATAGTCAATACCGTTTTATCGTTGGTCGTTTATTGTTGTCTTCGTCGCGCGTGAATCTGTTTCACCTACAGTTCGAGCCGCTTAGCCTTCACAATTATAAGCAGCGTGAAGCGTTCTCTTAAAGGGGAATTCCACCAATTTTATCAAAATATCTGATGTGAAGTGGTTCATCGCAGAGAAACTCTTTTTCACCAGTGGTAATAGGGTTTTTTTATATTTAATGATGATGGTAAAAAGTTATAAATCTGAATAAATACATTTTCTTTGGGGACTGTTTTGTCTTACAACGCCCTGCATGTACTCCTGCACCATGAATGGATTAAAGTAAATGGATTAAAATATAACGTTATCTTTAGCCAAAACTTTATCACAAAACTATCATAAAACAATGTGTCAGACATCAGGCAATGTATTCATAAATCATTTCATGTAATAATTTTTTTGTGAGGGAGATTTCAGAGATATTAAACTCAAGTTTCTCTAGAATGGAGCATTTCACACCAAACTGCTCTGAATGGCTTTGTCTACATCCTTTTATTTATGTAGAATTTTTTTTAATCTGTGGAGTTCCCCTTTGAGACTCAGTCATTTACTGAACACAGCTGTAAATTAAAAATATAGACAGGCCTAAGGCTAATTTGCAAAGATATACATGACAGAGAGTGTAAATACATATTTTACCTGAGATGACACTACCTAGAATGACGGTGGCAGCTTAGTTGACTAAAACATTTGAAATGTAAACAGAGACTATTCTGCAGTCATAGCATTTTAAATGGACAGCTAAGGGATTTCTAGCTAGAAAGAAGAGTATTTACAGGTTCCTTTACTGACATATTTAGTTCTGTACGGTATGGATTTGCTTATCTTATGCTCTAAAACTGCCTGAAGCCCTTCTGGTAACTTCTAGAAGCTTCCTTCTTGGTGAGGAACACAGATAAAGGTTTCAGCAGCAATTGGCAAACAATATTTAAGATCTTTTCATCAGTTTTGGAATAACATTTTTGAACCTCTTCCACCTGTAGTGTGTGCAGCTGAAAGCAGGATACTCCAGATGTGAAGGTACTAGAGTTATGTCTGGACAGCAGCTCGTGTTAAAGCAGAGAGCTGAGCTCCTGGGGGCTCTGTGCTGTGGGGGAACGGCTGAACCACTGGACTGTGTGCTGGACCTGCTCCTCTCTTGGGGCATCCTTGTCTGGGAAGATTACCAGAGCATTCGGGGGCCAGCCAAGCCCCTCTGCTCCAACACCCGAGACCTCCTAGACTTGGTCTACAGCAAAGGAGAGGAGGCCTGCTGTCTCCTGCTAGCAGCATTTGAACAAGTTTTACCTGAGGCTCAGAAAGCTGGTCTCTGTTTTGGTAAGGCTAATTCAGTGGGAAGTTATGCCAAGTGGACTCCCACTACTTCCAGTCAGGCTTTGTTGACTGACAGACCAGCTCTGGTAAGGAAACTAAGGGACCATATTGATGGAGCGCTGGACGCTCTGTTGGAGGCTGGCTGCTTCACTTCAAAAGACTGTGATGAGGTGCTATTACCTGTGTACACGCCTTCACAGAAGGTAAGCAACACATACTTCAGAATACTTTCTACCCACATTGGACTAGACTCTTAAATGTCTCTGTTAACTTAGATTATAATTGCATCCTCATAATCATGTCTTGTTGGGTAATATTTGAAACTAAGTAATATTTCAAACATTGCTTAATTGTTTAACTGTCCTTAGGATTATGATTTTTGCAAATTTTCACAAGTCATTTGGCTCCTACATGCAACCCAAACTCTCATGCTTACATTTATGGCCATCAGACACTGCTAAAATTTGGTAAAATCATTCATGCTATTAGTAGCAGATGGGACCAGGCCCAAGACTTTGCCATTGGCTGATGCAGCTGGCTGTGGGACAGAGTGCTGAAGGCAGTGCCAGGGAAATCAGAAGTGCAGCAAGAATGTTTGTGTCCATGCTAGGCTAAAGGCTAACCCCAAGAGACTGGCTTGTTGCTTCCATACATATCTCTAATGTAACAAGCAGGAATGATGTTACCTCAGAATGCAATTGACTGCACAGCGGGAGATGAGGTTTTGCAGGGGGGTTGAAACATCGTTGGCTAAGCCTACCAGCTAAATGAGCTAATGATAGCATGTTCTGTACTGTGTATGTGTTACATTATCTGTGATTACTTGTGGCAAATCAGTGTAAGCATTATAACAAAACTAGACCTTATGAAGAATTTCAACTAGTACACCACATGAACCAGATGAACCGGGATGACGCCCACTATTACTCTGGAGTAGCCTAAGGTCACCAAGTGTTGACTAGAGGGGTGTGAAGCTTCAGAACTGATCATCCAACACCAGTACCTGACCTCATTATTGCTCTTGTGGCTAAATGCAATCACATCCTCATCTGACATCACATGCATTTAACATCAATTTGTAATAATAATAATAGAATTCTTGAGCAGATCCTACTGACAGAATCCCTGCCATGTTCTTCCCTTGTCTGTGTAGGTTAGAAGGCTATTAGACCAAGTGAGGTACAGAGGGGAGGGTGCCTCCCATGTTCTACTACAATATCTACAGCACATAGACGTTCCATCACAACCTATTGAAAAGGAAAAGCAACTCACTGCTGGTATGTATGTGGTTTTCACTTACTTTGCTCTTGAGTGGGATGTTTGTTTCACTCTCTCAAGTGACCTTTGATTATACAAACCTTACAGTCAATGCGAGAATATAGTTTGACACTGGTGTTTTCACTGTGCATCTTCCTCAGAATGGCAAAAGACAAAACTTATCACTTAGGATTTTAAGTTGTATCACTGTTTCCCTTTAGGTAAGACTCATATAAACCCTTACTATTGTTGTTGTGAGGCAATTGTCTTGGAAGTGTGTACAAAATAGCTGACATTTTATTACTTTGACAGCAGTTCATCAGATCCACACGGTGAGTCAGCAAAGCGGGGCAAAAATTTGATGCAACCCCCATCTAAGTTTAAAAAGATTGCGAAGTGGGTCTGCACAGATACCTTAAAGAACAAAAAAACAGGCACAGCAGCTGGGTTAGCTAGGTTAGCTAGTGTTAAGGTTATTGGTAATATAACATTTATGTCTGTAGGGTTACAAATGCAGCAAAACAAATTAAATGCATACATTTAAGTGCAGTAGCCAAGCATTGCCTATATATTCAAAGTACAATTAATGCATCAAAGTAAACAATACATGCCTAAATGCTCTGTTCTTCAACAGTACAGTAAATGTGACAATGGCAACATCAGACAGTAAATGCCTAAACATTCTGCTCTTCTAGTGTACATTAAATATCTCAGTGTTAGACAATATGAAACATTCTACTCTTCCAGAGTACAATAAATGCATCATCAAATATCAGTTTGAAATAACGGTCAAATCTTAACGTCTGTCTGAAAAAGCAAGTGTCTGCCAAAATCTATTTGATTGAATGAAAGCCATCCTATCTAGATAGCTAGCCAACATAGTTAGATATTTTTTTCTGCTTGTGAGCTGAATGAGCTTAGAAAATCTTTAATGATAGATTTAACATTGCAAAATGATGTCAGTCTTTGTCTTTCATCTTATCTCCATTTGTAAGAATTACATCCTGGGATACAGTCAAGAGACTGCCTCTTTTCACTGACAGGTTTGATATTCATCAACTTTGTCATTGCTGTATGTGTATGATAAAACCCACACCTGGTAGAAGTGTAAATTTGACCCGAAAAATGCTTCATTTGTGGTTAACTAACCAAAACTATTATGGTTATCATCTATAATAACAATAACAACAATAAAAATAGTAAATGAAAATAATATTAAGAATCTGTGCCCAAAGCAATGCAATTCAAAAACAGATATACTTATTTTACATCACATTGAGACAAACAAATGCCGCAAGTATTCCATTTAAAAACTGTTCCATTTAAAGACATATTATATACACTGTGCTTTTGTTTTGTATTACCAACACCACCCAAAAAATAACAAATTGCACAGAAAAATAACACAGCTTGTGCAGAAGCATCTCATGCACTACATTAATACAGCATTTAAATATGTAATTTTAAGAAAAAAACACACTACACAGTCACATCATTCTACCTAAAACACTGGTTTATTTCACATTTTATTGTTTCCAGTTGTCATAACCTTAACACTATGTTTGGTCAGTAGGGAGAGCAGTGCACTCACTTCACCTACGAGCACAGCCATTGGCTCAAGAGCCGCTGAATATTGTTGTTTTTTCGCTCCCTAACAAAACATATGCATGGATTAGTACCAGTGGGCTGGTGCTTGATTTCATGCACTGAAGCTCAGTTTCATGCTTGTTTCTACATCGTAAAAATGTTTCATGAATCAGACAAATAGTATTTTGTACGCCTTTTAAGACAGTCAAATCTGCTCTCTCTTTTATGCAGCTTTGGTGAATAAGGGCCATTGTAGTTCAGTTTGTGCTTCCCACCCAGGGTGTATCCGCTGCAGTAGTTATGTTTATTTTGACTTTTGATTTTGATTTGCCCCAGAATGCCTGCTTTACCAGAAGAAACTTCGTAGCTCTGTCTCTGCCCAAAGCCACTTCCTTGGTACTTATGGTGGAACAGGAAGATTATCCCTTGACGATATCTTCACTGAGTGCCTTTTACAGCTGGCGCACGACAACAGGGAGATTACAAGCCTGGGGTTGGAGGATGTGGTTGGTTTGGCTGGGACTCTTAATGAGGAAGCTGATACAGTACTTGTGTCTGGGGAGGCAGGCACTGGCAAAAGTACCCTGCTGCAGAGACTTCACCAACTTTGGGCTCGAGGGGCCTTGCTGAGGGACATTGTTTTGCTCTTTCCCTTCAGCTGTCGTAAACTAAGCGCAGAGCGGAGGATGCTGTCTTTGAAAGAGCTTCTGTTCCTGCACTGCTGCTGGCCAGACCGGGGACAAGATGAGCTTTTCCAGTTTATTCTGGACCACCCTCACCTAGTCCTGTTCACATTTGATGGCCTTGATGAGTTTAAGCAGAACTTCACAGATGAAGAGCGCCATTGCTCCCCCACTCAGCAAGCACCTGTACCCATGCTGCTTTTTAACCTACTCCAGGGTACCTTGATGAAAGGGGTAAAGAAGGTGGTGACCAGTAGGCCGCAAGCCGTGGGTCCAGCACTGAAACGGTACCTCCGCAAGGAAGTCCTTGTGAAGGGGTTCTCACCTGTGGGAATTGACTGCTTTGTTAGGAAACACCACAATGATCCCACCACAGCTTGTAGGGTTATAGAGTCCCTGCAGGCTAACACAGCCTTGCTTGGGCTGTGCCATATCCCAGTCTTCTGCTGGATCGTGTCTAAGTGTTACAAGGAGCTGCTTGGATGTGGGGAAGGTAGTCCCCAGACCATCACAGATGTGTACCTCATGGTCCTGCAGCACTTCTTCCAGAGGAGGGTGCCTCAGGAGCAAACAGCCCTAGGAAAGGGATGGCTGCAGAAACATCTGGACACAGTAATGAGACTAGGACAGCTGGCACTGGAAGGTCTTGAAAGTTCCTGTTACGTGTTCCCAGAGGGAGAGCTGCAGAAATATGGCATCACAGAACAGGATGTCAACCTGGGTTTCCTCATACATTGTAAGGACCTCTCAGACTCTACTGACTGCAAGCACTATGAGTTTCTACACATCACTTTACAGTGTTTCTTCGCTGCTGTCCATATCGTTCTCAATAGCAACAGCAACCGCTCTGTTATCCCAAAGCTCTTCCAATCTGAGTGCAGGCAGCTTTCAGGTCTTACTCGTGTGTGCCTTGGACACTGTATCGACCAGCCAGGAGAGGCTGACCCCAATGCAGCAGAGACACCAAACCTACAGATCACTGCTAAGTTTGTATCAGGTCTTCTTTCCCAGCATCATCGTGGCCTACTGTTACAGTCCTGTCCTGCTGCCTCGCTTGAGTGGAAGTCCAAGCAGGTACTGAAGTGTTTGTCCAAGGGCATGCAGAGGCACTTCAAGTCTATCCCTCGTCCTGTGGAGGGTGAGAAGAAGAGCATGCACGCCATGCCGAGCTTCGTTTGGCTCATCACATGCATCTATGAGATGCAGCAGAGTGCAATTGCAAAGGATGCGGTGGCTAAGCTAGAGGTAGAGCACCTGAAGTTAACATACTGTAATATTGGACCAGTGGAGTGCACGGCTCTGGCCTATGTGCTGAGGTACCTTCCAAATCCAGTCGGTCTCCAGCTGGACTACAACACCGTGGGGGATGTAGGAGTGGAACAGCTCCTGCCATGTCTACACATCTGTCACTCCCTCTAGTAAGAATGGAAATTTATTTACAATTCTATTAGAATTCATTATTACAATTATTTACTTACCTTAAAGGGGAATTCCACCTGCATAATTCAATTATTGAGATGTAAGCAAAGTCAATCAGAGTTGTTTGATGTGAAGCACTGTTCTAGAGAAACATAAGTGACTCGGATTTCTTTGTAATGGTGGTGATAGGAACCAGAGGTTGTGATACCTACCACACAAATATAGCCATTTTAACTACTGTCCGTTTCATAACTTTTGCACAGTCCAAACTTTAGAGTTTATTTTTTCCCAGTCTGTTAAATTTAGTGAATAATTGTGCATTGAAATGTACAAACGTGTGCCCTATGTAAAGGGGTGTGCACTTATTTATATTTAGAAAATCAACAAAATGTTGTTTGACCAGGATGTCCAAACCTTTGCATACAACTTTGCGTAAAACAAAGTCTCAGGCATCAAGCGATGTATCTGTAATGATTTTACATAATAACTTTCTGTGAGGTAGATGCTAAATGTTTTGGATGTCTGGTTCCTGTCACCACAGCTACGAACAATTCTGACTTTGAACAAAATTAGTGGAATTCCCCTTTTACCAACTGAATACGGTCTATTTGTGGTAAAGTAGATGGTGGTCAAATATGTGGAGCAGGAGGCAAGGGCTTCCTATAGAAGATCATTCCATTTGCTTGCTACTAACACTTAATAACCATTTATTCAATTAACCGTCCAGTGTGTACAACAGTCACAGATGTTGCAGCATATCACCCATAACATTTATCCATCATATTCCCAAGTTATTTTTCATTTCCTTGCTGAGAAACCTGGGAAATAGCTAGGAGTACTGCTATAAACTGTGGAGTGGTAATAGGGCTATGGTGCTAACAGATTCTTGGTACTAATTGAATCTAACTGAAAGGTCTTATCCAGTCTATGGTGCTAATGTGTGTATGCTGCCAGTGGGTCATTGGCACTAACAGAGCTACGACCTAACACAGCAGTGCTCAAGACCAGTCCCGTTGACCTTTTGCCTTGGAGAGTTTAATGCCAACCCTAATCTAACAGTTAATCAGGAGCATCTGAGTTCAGGAGCACTAACAGATCTATGGGACTAAAGAGTATGTATCATGTGCAAAAGTTAAAGTTTTATTTGTTCCAATATGTTAAAATAAATAGTACTTGTGCACTTAAATGTGCAGAAAATGGTACAAATTTGTAATAAAAATGTCTTTTTACTTAGAAAATCAACAGAACATGTAGTTTGTTGAAACTTTTGCATAAGACTGTTAATTACATACAGATTTGTTTTCCAAATCTGTAAAATACAGTGTACAGATTCTGCATGCCTGTGTTTGAATAATGTCTATTTATCATTTCTGGCTAAAATTGCCTTTTTCAGGCATATAAAATTTCCTTTTTTTGCTATTCATGATTATATTATTATAGCTTGAGGAACAATAACATATCCGATGAAGGAATACGCAAACTTGTCGGAAAAGGAGTGCACTGCGAAAGCTTCCAGAAATTAGCGTGAGTATAAAAAACAACTAGAATCACTTTCTTTAGTTCATACCGTAAACTGTTACCTCATACTATGATGTCTTGTTTTTACAATTTGCACACAGGTTATTCAACAACAAACTAACAGATGACTGCACAAAGCATATTGCCTGGTTGCTGAAGACGAAGAAGAACTTTCTCGCATTAAGGTACCACTTGAACTGTTTTAATCTGTGTTTCTTTAGGGTTTCTTGTGGACTCTTTTAGGTCTGAAGAACCTTACCTGCATTGTAATGATAAGGCTTCTGTAGTATTTTAAGAATTCTGAAAGAAATGGTACAAGATACAACAACAAAGGCCATATACGATTGCAAGGCTGAAGAAAAGTATGACAAAAGAATGGCAAAAAATCCACTTTCAATGCTAAATCAGTTTTGCCTTCAGTCCCCAAACAATTATCAAGTGCTGTTAGAAGAAAAGGTGATGTAACAGTGGTAGACATAGTGGTAAAAATGTTTTGGAATTAAGTTCATAGAGTGAAAACAAACATAATGTTTTTGTCAGACAGAATTTACTAATGACTGCTTTCAGTTTAAATTAACATTCCACATAATATCCCAGATTTTGTGGAATTAAGTTTGTAAAACAAAACATGTGTATTTACTTTATTATACTTTATTCAGTTTCTTTATTTGAGCTTGAGCTGTGTCTCGTCAGTTGGGAGTTACTAAGAATCAACATCTAGGAATCAAGATAGTCAGCCATTTGTCCACTGTAGGCTTGCACTGTAATAGCTGCATATGATCAACACATGCAACAAATAAATGTTAATCGCATTTATTTTTATAGGTCTGGGTCCTTGTATATCAAAACACATAGAAAATATTTGAAAAAAGTGTCTATCTAGAACAATCTCCAATCTATTCATTAAACATGTTAGAAATGAAAGACAAACTGAGAAACTGAAAGAGAAACTGATCTGTACTTTTTTTCAATCAAAGCAAAAATGTAATTAAAATATAATCTCGTCTGTTTTTCTGGTTGCCTACTGTTGTACAGACTTGGAAATAATAACATCACATCACAGGGGGCAGAGCAGTTGGCAGAGGGGCTGAGGTACAGCAAGTCACTGCAGTTTCTTGGGTGAGATTTGTTTCATTACAAACAAATTGGTTTTGAAAAATATGTATGTATGTATTTATTTATTTGTCTACTTGTTTGTTTGTTTGTTTGTTTGTACATTTTGTATTTAGTTATTGGATTTACTTATCAATACACACACACACACACACACACACACACACACACACACACACACACACACACACACACACACATTTTCCATTTTCCACTTATCCTTCTGGGTCGCGGGTGGTTGATGGAGCCTGTCCCAGCGGTCATTGGGTGGAAGGCAGGAAACACCCTGGACAGGGTATATCCAAAGCCTGTTTTGGCTAATCTATGCTTCCTTGTGTTAAATCAAGTGCACTGGTGATGGAATTTAATAGATCAAACTAGCTCTCATGATATCAACTATTTTTTTTTTTTTCAAAATAAGAAAATCTTGTTACATTTTATGGTATTTATTTTTTATTTGCATTTATTCTAAATGTTATTCTGTCAAAATCACACTTATTGCCAAGACAAGTAATCTTAAACAATGTGCTTAGGTGTCTAAGACTTTCGCACAGTACTGTGTATTAACATAAAGCATTGCAAGTAGCCAAAAAGTGCTCAATAAAATGTGCATGCCCCATAAAATGATAAATTAATGTTTATCATAAAACATGCCGGTAACTGGTCTACACCACACAAAATGTGTGGCACGGTAAATAAGACCTGTTCATAAAGTCACCATGATGGTGATTAGCACAATGGTGTCTTCTTAACGCTGCCATATTTTGACAGTATTTTTAAAGTTAAACGTGAAGTTGAACAAAAAATAAACACTTTATTCCTCACAATTAAAAAATAATTGATATGCTGAAATTCTAATGACCATTTCAGATTTATTTTCTGTTTTTTTTTTATCTCAGAAATTGAGTCAGTTTTGACTAGTAAGAAATGAATTTTCACGTGTAAATTAAATTCCTTTGTAAAATTCAATTTAAATTGAAAAGCAAGATTAAAAGATAAAACTGCTTGCAATAAAATCAATTTGAACATGTAATTAGAATTTCAACATTCAGTTAAATTACTCTTCAATGATCTGGATTGAAAGCTAAACCAACTTTCCACACACAGGTTGGGGGATTCGCCAAACATTGAATTTTGACCCAGAAAAAGAGGCTGTTTTAAGTACGGTGTCAGTTGAAAGTGTGAGAGGAATCTATCAGTAATGTTTGAGTAGATCATTTTATCGTGTTTTTTAGGCTATGGGGTAATAAAATTGGAGACAAAGGCACTGAGGCTTTGGCAGATGCACTAAAGGACAGCACTTCACTAATATGGTTAAGGTATGAGTGTTTGTTTTATTTGACTACAGTCGTAGTTTGGGGAAAATGACGCCTCTGGCTTTAATGTCTTTTGCTATTTTGGGACTGTATCTTTAGCCTGGTGGATAATAGTGTTGGCAACACAGGAGCCTGTGCTTTGGCAGAGCTTGTGAAGAGGTGCACCACACTTACAGAGCTCTGGTGAGTTGAACGATAAACGCACACTTTTAAAAACGGAAGACTTGTTTCCTTCCGTGGAAAATTTACTTCCTTCATCTTTTTGTGTTTCTCTCATTTATTTTCCCTTTCTCAATTTCTTGTCTCTCTCTGTCTTTCACTTGACCTCTCAGGCTAAACCAAAACAACATTGGCAGGGATGGTGTGGAGTGTATAATACATGCTTTGGAAGTGAACTCCAGTGTTAAAGAAGTGTGGTAAGACCATTTACATTAATAAACACGATTTATGTTATAAATCATGTTTAATAATGTAATAACAATGTGATCAAGTCCTCAAATGTCAAAGGAAATTGCATCCATACTATAGGCCACAAAGGCTCCTATTGTGCAGTGTATAAATGGCAAAGTGGTATCTGTATCTAGACTCAGTTATAAGCCTTTATGTCTGTAGGGATGTCACGATTACTTGATTAAACTTGATTTCTCAATTTAAAAAAGATGAATCAACAATCGTTAATTGGCAATTTAGTTAAGTTTATAAGTTTCTTCCTGGCTTATTTTTTCAGTTAAAGGACCCATACCATACACTTTTCTCATATAAGGTCCACTTATGACATTTTTGTTGTTTTATGTACCAAAAACATTAATAATTCATTAATCTTAACATTTTTCCAACCTTTCTTTATTCCTTAGAATTAAACAGGCTGTTTTTCTTACTATGCCTTTGAGATTGATATAAGTAAATGAACTCTGTTCTGATTAGCTGCTCGGTATTGTGCTTCATTCAAAAAGCAGTCTGGACTGCAACACTCCTTATAACTTCAGTTTGAATGGGCAAAGCTAAACTGCTGTAGGCTGAACAGACAGATATATGTATATATATATATATATATACATGCTGATTTTCATGATAACAGTAAAATAATTTCAGATGTTTACATACTATATCAAACTATTTCAGAAAGTGATGAAAGGTTTAACTGTTATTGTTTTGACCTTTTTAAAAAACTTTACGGTCAAAATAACCTGTAAATTTCTCGATAAAAAATATAAGCGATAGTAACAGCTCTAGTTGGGTGTATAAAATTAAATCTGATCTAGCAAATGTCACTAACTGAAAATCTGACCTATTGTGCTGTGGCAGGTTGAGGGGAAACAATCTGAGCCCTGAGGAGGTGGAGGAACTTAGTCAACGTGAAAGCAGGCTGACCTTCTGAGGATGAAAGAGCACAATGATGCCAACTATGATACACCTACAGACTAACCTCTTCAACTAGCACTGTCTACCCTAAAACTGTAACACTGGCCCACAGTATTGCCCGCCACTGGTCCCTGCACTTCATTCTTCATGAATATATGGAGAATATATAGGTCAACACTGTCTTCTGTTGTGCATTAGCACAGCAGACACCAATGCATGGTCTTCCTGCTGTATTTCTCAGTCTGAGCCTGAAACTGAAGACTGATAGAGATGTTACTTGTAGTATACGCCATATTTATGGCATGGTTGTTGCTAACGACATTTATTGTGCTATTTTATATGCATCTATACTGTAACTTTTTTCTTTTGTTCTTAATTTTCCATTTTTCCGTTTTTATATACATTTTCTCCCTAAACAGGCTTAAGTTGGAGGAATTTTTGTCATGTTATCCTTCTTTTTATATCTATTTCTTTTTTTTTAAGAGAAATTGATAACTGTAAATAAAATTACAGAAAGAGTAGGCCTCTAATATTTCAAGAATATGGCTGGAAAAACATAGGTTGAAAAGACCAAGCCGCCAAGCGTAAAAATGAAAGTTCCTAAATGGTTCTTGGCTTGGATAAATGGTTCTAAGAAAAAACAATGTATTTAATATAAAACAGGATTGGCCAATGTTGGCCTGTGCGGATGTTTGTTTAGGCCTACCAAAAAGGTGCCCTTATCCAACCCCCTCACCAGTGACAGAACAAACATGTTTTTATTCTGTGTGTAACTTATTAAACTCTTTTTACTTTTTACATTTCTATATTTGAGTATTTTGCTACCTTTTAAAACTTCGTTTGAAACCAGCCTAGCTTTTAAGAGTCTGACTACACACTCTGACCCAATGTAGCTAGTATTACACTACTTACTGAATAGATAACACTGACTGTCTTCGAACTTTGCAGGCAAAGCCAGATGATACAATATGAGGAGTGTCTAAGGGACAATAGCAGTGAAGGTGCAGATATTTGGTCAGTTTCCTCACCAATTAGGATTACAATGATTTTTACACATCACATGTTTTTCAAACTTATTTTTATTCATTTATTTGTATGTGTGTGTGTGTGTGTGTGTGTTTGGGGATGTATTACCCAGTTCTACTTTTTGGAGGGATAGCTATCTCAGATTGACACTGAAGTATCAATACTCCTTGTCCTGATGTTTCTTTTCTCAATCAATTCTCACATGAAAATATTGATATGAAGTGTTTTCTTTAAGCAGTAAAATGAATTTTGTGCTACTTTTCCTTCCACTCTCTCTCTCTCTGCTTCTCATACAGAAGCACAGACAGCCACAACAGTACATGTTCTATAATGGCAGATTATTTGGGGTTATTTCACTAAACCAAAACAGTCTACATTTCAGACAGTCATCTAGAAATCACAAAGAGTTAGTCTTTACACTTTTTACATGTGCACAGAGACTCTTAAAAGTTTCAGTATTGGTATATGGAAGCCCAGTCCCACTGTGATTCCCTTCTCTGTTTCTAGCAGCAGTATGTCAAAAAAATTGACTTAGTGTCTTCAAATAATCACATATTTTTACAAAACTTACTATGTTAATGACTTCTCACAACATTGACTTATTATGTCAAAAATAACGATTTTGTATGTCATAATAATTATCCCCAAAATAATAACTTACTTTTTGAAATGTAATTACTAAGTAATGTTTTGGCATAAGAGGTCAATATTTTGAAAAAAAATAAGTCATTATTTCATGAAAATGAGTTTCTTGAAAGTATTTTACTATTTCATAAACTAAGACAAAATTGTTTGACACACAGCTGCCAGATACAGAGAAGGGAATTGTAGAATGTTAAAAAATAATGGCTTAATATCTCATAATAATTATCCCAAGAAATGTAAGAACTCGTTATTTTCAAGTTATATATGAGCCATATATATATATATATATATATATATATATATATATATGTATATATATATATATATATATATATATATATATATATATATATATATGTATGTATATATATATATATATATATATATATATATATATATATATATATATATATATATATATAAGAACTGTGATATCATCCACACGTAATGAACATGCACAGGAGCCAGCTAAACCTCGGGGAATACGTCATGAGAAAAATCATATCTAAAAGTATGACAGAAACAACAGTGAGCCGCACTGGTACCCCTCACTGACTGGCAGTGACCCGGAATGATCCTCTTCAGCCACTTCTAGCAGGAGACCTGTGCCATACTCTTCAACCAAACTACTGGAAAACCCCAGAAGGTTGGCTTTAAGAGCGAGCAATCACAGCGACCAATCAGCGACGAGAAACACTCTCCTCAGCCAATCGGAGAAGAATGCATGTGGCCCAACAGGTTCAGTTAGTATGACACTGTAAATGATACCATTTAAATTTTAAATATAAGTCCGTTTTCATTTTACAGCGATAAGCTAACTACTGTTTGGAGCTTGTTTACTGACGCGTTTTTGGGTAGACCTTTGTACTGCTTAAAGAAAGTGTGCGGGAAAGTGAAACTGAGCTGGTTTACTCTCAGCACCACTGGAGAATGCTAGTCGGTGTTAGCCGGATAGCTCTGGAGTCGTACAGTCGTAGTAGTGACTGGGAAGCAGCCGGAGGAGACTGTTTTCTAGACGGCTAGCTTGATGGACCTGCCCTGTCTCGCATGTAAACACCGGGAATAAAAGCGCAAAAGGCCACACTCCGCAAAGAGGGCGGCTAGTTTTCATTCAAGGAGGAGCTGCTGCAGCTGTATGAGGTAATAGAAAAGTGCTTTAAAGCTAAGTTAGCTTAACGACATCCCCTGCGTAGCTTCCTTCGCTTCAGCGAAATTTCGTGAATTCCTCAATTCGTGCTACGACATTCATTGATAGACATTACTGTGTTATTCAAATCAGCAACAAGTGCGTGGCGTAAACGGTACTGTTTGTACACGTTTAGTGATGTTAGTGACCTACACAGCGAGCTGAGACACAGTGCTGTGTGAAACTGTAGCCGTTAGCCACTGTTAGCATTGATGACTTCACAGTGTTGGTTTGATTTACGGTGATGTCATCGCCACAGAGCGCATTTAGGCTCCCATTAATAGCTTGAGCTAGTGTAGTTTGGCTATTGCTAATGTGCTGATCTGTATTTGAGTAACGTTAACCTACATGTCCTTTTATCATATATACTGTAGTGATGTTGCCAGGTAGCTTAACTGTGCTAGCACTAGGAGTGTCCTCTCGCAAATATCAGGTTGCCGAGTCCCCCCCCCCAAGAGAAGATAAAGCTATCACAGCTGTCATCACAGACCTCTTTCCTCACCTGCCCATAGTGTGCTAGGTACACTGCATTGTGTTATCTAGCTAAGCAAGTTAAGTAAGACCCAACGTTGTCTGTCTCCAAATCTGACAGCATCAGTACTCTTGTGAATGGTATTTGTCTTGCTGTTGATTAGACCAAACGCTATGTTTGGTATGCTTTAGCTAATCCTTTACTGTCTCCTACTTTATCAGAGACTCGTTTGTTCAGAGACGTGCTTACCAGTATATCACGATCATTTAAACTTGGGTCATTAATCTGTAGTATTTTTCTGTATACATAATTGTTGTCCATCCTCCTATACAGACAGCAGGGCTGGGCAGAATACTTTGAAAAAGTAGTGAAGCCTGAACACTGAATACACCGTCCTAAATGTATCGAGTAATGTATCGCATTATACTGCGTAAAAAGGTAACATAATCAGAGCATGTTTAGAATACATTTTGATAAGACACGCTGGAAAACTCTGCTGTTGTAATTTCTGTTTACTTCATATTGTTCCTCACTGTTTGACTGACTATTGATTGACAGGTTTCTTCATGTAATTCATCTGTTAACTAATAATTCATTTAATTTATTTATTGAAATGTTTTGGTTCTCAACACCTGCTTCTGCATCTGCTCAAATCTTGCATGCTTGAATATAAAGTGAGTAGCTGTGTGATTTTCAGTTAATAAGTGTATGTAAGTCTAGTACAAAAGAGATCGTAAGCTTATCACATAAACATATCCTTCTGAGGAAACTGTTCAGTTCCATCATCCCTCAAAAGAGTTTAGTTACACTGAAAAATAAGCAGGAACTTTCCTGTCGTTCCTCTTTAAAGTGTGTTTTTACATGCTGTGCACTGATGCTAAAATGGTGTTTCTTTAAAAAAATGGTATATATTTTTTATTTACTTGGTGGGTATTCTAAAAGTATTGTCCTTAAAATGTAAAAGGTTACAGTATTCTGAATACTGCCTTTACAAAATAGAACTTGGACTGGAAAGATTCATTTAAAAAACGTAATTTCTGTATTGTAAATACATATTCCCAATACTTGTATTCCATTACATCCCAACCTTGTTCGACAGTAACATTTAGGTGGAATTAACCATGACATTTGGGGCTAATTTTGGCCTCCTGTTGCCGCACTATGGCACATTACAAGCACAGCTCAGATTAGTTTCAGACCTCTTCAAAGTGTAGCTTGGAAAGGTCATTAAAGAAGTTCATCATTTCAGTGTTTTGTTGAAATATTAGTCAGCTCATGTGCTCAGCTCATAGTGTTTTGCCATTAGTGAACAGGAAGACTGAAGGGTGAGTTTGTGTCTGTAAAATCCCCTGCAGCTTCACTGACACGGTCTCCAGCACTGGGGGAAATCCGAGCATGCACATGTTCAGTGAGTCAGTGTGTTCAGTGTTATATGTGTGTGCGTAAGTGAATATGAACTCAGGCTACTTTGGTTCCGTAAACAGTGCTTGCACAGTTGAGTTTACTCTTAACCTCACCCATTCCAACATATGTTCCATTTATGGTAAAGCCATTAGCCATGATTAGCTGGCAGCTTGAATGATGATGCATATTTAAAATTCTCCTGCTGGTCTCTCTTACAGTAAGAAAAAGGCTGGAACACCATTCTTCCGTATCTACAGGCCTTTACATACTGAGTGCAATTGGTGTAATTTATTCGGACATCAGTAAATTAATTTTAATGTGTGTAGCTGATGACTTCTTGCCCACCAAAGGCAATCTTTCGGAGGCCATGAGTGCAGTGTTAATTTATTCGCCCTCTGTTTGATTTTCCTACTTTCTCAGGAGAAACGAACCTCGCTGACCAATCATGGTCGCCTCTGACATTGGCATTGATGACCAAGATGACCGTTCAGCTGTGACACAGCAACTAGAACTTTTTTTTTTTAACAAATGTCAAAAGCAGGAGATTGTCTTTTGCTTCTGCTCTGTATAATAGCAGTTGTAAAGTAGCTCCTTAATAAGAAGAATGAAACTTTCCAATCTCCTTTCACTTTTCCAAAATGGAAAGTAAGCTACCCAGTGTCACCATTTGCCCGCGTTGCCAGGATGTGTTTTTGCAACGTTCTTTTCTCACATTAAAATGCTTTAGCCATTTGTGTGTTTTTATTTGCTGTGCAAAAAAACAGTGATATTCCAAAAACAGTGTTTATTCGCATCACCTTTGTTGTGTTATGGCCTTTACACATCAGTCCAAAATGTCCCATAGATATTTAACTGGGTTTAGATCTGGTTGCTGCAAAAGCCATAGTGTATGATGTAGATCATTTTCATACTTATCAAACCATTCCAGTAAAATGGCCCCACAGCATAACCTAGCCACCACAACCCCTACTGTAGGGGTCAAGCATTCCGTGACTGTACCGTTCTCTTGGTATGCTGCACGTGCACTCACCCACTTGTGGAGAATAGGATGACTAATTTTTTCTATACCTCTGTAGACTCATTTCTGTAGTGCCTGTTGTACTATTAAACACGCTAATGTGCATTTATCTTTGTAATGAGAGATTTATGCTCTGCAACTCTACTACAATATCCCACTCTATATAGTTGTAGATGGACTGTTCCTGCTGAGACAGACTGATCACTTCCTTCACCCATTGTTATTCTCAGTTACCTGATGAACAGTTGCTCTTCTGTTTTCCATTACGTGTCAGGCTAATGCATCTACATCGTGGTCTTTGAATCTGTGCTTTTGGCCTCAATTTACAGACTTATTTACTAGGGAGACATGAGGATCATAGTGGTATTAACAGATACTTGCCCAAAAAAACATTGCCATAGGACAGATGTTTACGTTTTACTGATATTTCAAAATCAATATTTGTTGCTGTATTTATTGTACTCTGGAAGAGAAGAATGTTTAGGTGATGCTGGGCTGCTATGCTTAAATGTCTGTGTTTTACTTGTTCTGCTGCATTTGGAACTGCATTTTTTTTCCCTTTCAACAAATCTGTTTGGTTAGACACAGAATTAATTTTATCAAATCAGATTTTATCGGAAATGTGGCCACTGCAGTAGCTAACTGCAACCATCGCGATAGCTAACATGATAATTTGGTGACTGTGGTGGTCCCCCTTTCTGAGCTGATTCACAGGGTCCTCATAGATGCTGTTCCATTGACTGAAATTTGAAAGATTCATTAGCTTGCTGGTCCGAGTGGCCAGTGCAGATTTTTATATCTGTCTATCCCTGATTACACTGCATTCTCATGCTATCCCTAGATGAAGACTAGAGCTTTAATTGGGCCGTAAATTTTGCTCTGAACCTTATCTGATACACGGAATCATGAGCGTGGGCCTCTTGGACCTTAGTGCTGAGTGGGGGGCTCCAGTATGGCAAATTGAAAACAATTTAAAGTAGCGAAAGCAGTGAAGAACAAAGTAAGGAGAAACAATAAAGCTGGAGAAAACGCAGGGTAAAATCTATTAAAAGTGGTGTGAAATGTGAAATATTAACCTGACCCAAACCCAACACATATTTGAAATGATGTCCGAAGCAGTCAGATAAATATAAATGTTGTATAAGTTCTAATTAGTGTTTTGTAAGCTCTAATGTAGGCATAAATGCTGACTGTGCTTGCTTATAGCTTGCTGTGTGTGTGCATGTGTCTGCATGCTTGTTGCTTATCTGTTGTGTGCAGAAACATCTCAGTAGGTCTGTTTTTACACTTCTCTGACTCCACTGCATTTCTGCTCAGCAAAACCATTCAGGTTTTCCTCTTTAGCAGCCAGCTGCTGCTATTGTTGTCTTCTTGTTAGACGCAAGTAGCAATAAAACCTGTTCTCAGTGGGCAGCAGGGCCCATTTCTTATTCATGCTGTTTGAATTCTCACTTTCACTTTGTTAATTTTCAGATGTTCAGCTGAAAGTAGGTTAGGTCTGTCTGTTCAGTGGAATGCACTAGTCAGGGATATCACTGTGGGAAGACTGAAGAACAGCATTGTGTTAGACCTAAATCTGCTGCTATGGAGAAGTAATCATGGTTAATTCTGCGGTGCTAGCTTTCTCATTCCTCCCGCGACCCAGAAGGATAAGCGGTTTAGAAGATATTAAGAAGTTGGAATCACTTGTCTTGTTTAACAGAATTGAATATTGTCAATGTAACCTATAGACTTTAAATTTTAAAAATAACAATTGTTAAAATATCTAGGTGTTTTATTTAATATTTCAAGAATTTTGGGAATGACAAGAAGTAGTTTATATTACGTCGTCGTTATCTGCCTTGCGGTTTCAACACCACTTTTGAAGAAATTCTTTACTTTATTAAAACTTTTTTTTTTTTTTATTTATAACTCAGTCATTTTACACTCATCATTTGGTACACATTTTAAAATTGTTTAATCATCTTTTGCTACTTCCCTATTTGTAACCTGTGATGTTGCGTCATTAATTTGCAACCAGATTGGTCTTGTATTGAGTTTGAAATATTATCATATTTTCTTTTCCAGCTCCTGACATGTTTATGATGTGTCTAATCCACTGAAAGGTCATGCGAGTCTCCCTCGCCTGCGTCCACTGACGCTTCACGCCTTGACCTTTTCAACGGACTGCTCCTGTCGCCTCTCCCTTGGCCAGCGATGCAGCCATGAGCTCGGCGCTGTGGAGCCAGGAGAAGCCGGCGGGCGGCTTCCGCGATGACTGGCACTTCTACATGGTGGTGAAGGAATGTGTGGTGGAGAAGCCACCTCAGAAGACACTGCGCATCCCGCGTGGCAGCCTGGGTCAGGCATGCCAGGAGCGCAACAGCCTGGGCCGTCCACTGCCGCCCAGCAAGGGCAAGCGCAGCCTGCGCATCCTGGATCAGACCAACGTGGTGGTGAGTGTGGATGAGCGCGATGTGCTGGAGCTGGATGAGAAGCTGGCTGAGCTGCTATTCCCAATCACGAATTGCGAGGAACGCTATGGCCTGCTGTGCAACAAGCCCCGCCTGGACAGAGCCCGTGAGATTGACTGTGGCTCCAAAGTTCGCGTGCAGCTGCGTTCCGGTGATGAGCCTCTACCGGGTGTCGTCAGGTTCAAAGGGGCTCTGCTGCCTGACCGAGCGCTGTCTGGGATATGGTTCGGCGTGGAGCTGCTGGTGAGGAATGGGGCTTGCTCCCTGGGGTGACTACTTGGGCTGGGCAGTATATCATCTAGACCAGTTTTAGTGCTATGTTAGCCAGTAGTGGGCGATACTGGTTCATCCAGTATACCAGTTGAAATTCTTCCTCTGGTATGAGTTTTGTCATAACCGTTATCCCACATATACATATAGATAACATGCTGTACAGACAGTGCAAACCACGTTAATGTTAGCCTCTGTAGCTGAGTTGCTGAGCCATGGATGTTTGTCACATTTTAACTATAGATAAATAACTGTTATACTGGTATATAAAGTGCAGACAACACATCATACAAATAGTGCAAACCAAGCTAACATTAGCCCATTTAGTCAGATCGCTGAGCCAGGGATGTTTTGGTCATGCTTTAAATGAAAATGAAAATTGAAATGAAATTGCAGCAGTACATGGATCACCTCCTGCTGTCTAGAGTGTTGCATTTGAAGCAGTCCACTTTGTTCGCAGATATATTGCCAATCTTTTGGGGTTAGTCACAGCCTAACATGGCTAACCAGAGCTCTTCTGTTTCCTCTCTTACCACCTGAGAAGCGGGAGGCAGGAGTGTATGGGCCTCACAAATAAGATAACTGACTTGAGAAGTTTGACAAAGCTGAACTTTTTATCGATTTTCCCATTCCACATTAAATAATGCAGCAGTCACATTCAGGTGCCTGTACAGGTACCAGAACGTACCTTCCTCTCCATATAAGGTGGAATGGAAAATTTGAACAAAAACCTGTCCAATAAGAAGCCAACTTTAGCCTTGTGGAAATTTAGATGTGACACAACGTTTAGCTAGTGTTACAAAGCAATATTGATAGGTTTATTTACATATGGTTTAGTTTTGTTTTTTTACTATGTTAAAGAATGAAAATATTTCAGATTTACTTGGGGTGTGAAAAATGGGGTTTATTAAAAATGGAGGGACTTCCCAGAAAAATAATCCACTGTTAACCTATTAAAAAAAAGGTTTACTTAAGCTAAAATATACATATATACTGTGACATATTCAGAAACTTTTGGCCATGCTGCTTACTACTTGTTTTATCAGTTTGATAGATAACAAGCATGCTGTCTATGACATAATCTCCATAAAATTGCATAGTTCCTGTTGCCAAGCAGTTTATTTTTAGTTTTTAATTTTATTTTGTGCATTTTAATCATGGTATCCAGACCATACAGTTGACTGCAGTGTATGCGTGCTTCATATTGTTTTGAAATAACAGTTTTAAATCCATAAAATGTGTTTAGTTTTCCTCTGTAAATCTGGTTTCTGTCTGGTCAATGTTTACAGTTCTATGTAAGCTTCCATTTTTTTTATAGAATTTTAAGAAACAAAAAAGAAAATAATCCAATCAAGACAGGCTATGCCAAGCTTTTAAGATATCCTTTAGTCAGAAAACATGAGTAATTTTAATAATGCTTTAATAAAACTCAAATCTCTTCTCATACCTCATGCATTTGGGAAATATAAAAAATCAGGATATTAAATGTTCATAACTGTCGCTCAGCCCTAGTAGGTTAGAGAGCTTATTTATTTGTAAACTTTTAAACTTGAGTGTTTAGGCCTTATCTGTAATGATGTAATATAGAGCTGTGCCAATAATATGATTAATCACTGAATCATGATTCTGTTGTTCACTATTAATTTTATCATTTTAGTGTTTTTCTGCTCTAACATACCCTCTTCAGCTCAGGACAAGCTTGTTAATTGGAAGCGTCAGAGCACAGGGGCATACCAGGACCAAGGTTGGGAACCACTGCTTTAGTTCGGTCAGTGTGGATGAAGTACCTGTTTAATGCCTATAGATGGCAGCAGCTACGAAAGACCAGTAAATCTTGTAGGACTTCTTTAGTTTATATATCTGTTCATCGTTTGCTGCACATTAACCATGGCGGAGGTGTTGATGCAGGCATTAAAGGTGAATTTTTCAGAATTTCTTTTTAACTATATTGTTAAGATAGAAGCGATTCAGGGTGATATGATGTGAAATTCTAGAGAAACTTACCAAGTCAGAATTGTTTGCAGCAGTAGTAGCAGTTGTAGGAATCAGACATGTGAAGCCCTTAATGGCTCTAAAGGCACCCTCACAGGAAGTTTTTACATGAAGTGGTGACAAATATTCTGCCTAATATTTCAGTCATTTTGGTCTTAAATGTATTTGGTAAAACACATTCATGGTCGAGAAGTTAACACAGGGTTTGTAAGGCAAAATATTCCCCAAAGACATATTTTTTTTCAGATTTACCACTTTTTTACCATTATCAACATTGCATATAGAACCGTAACACGTGTAGGTTCACTGGTGGTTTTGGATGGTAAATAAATGGCTATATTTGTGTTCTAAACATCACAACCCCTGGTGTTTATCTACAATAGTTTCTCTACAATAAACAATTTCACATCAAACTACTTTGAATGATTGTTTACCTTTCGGCTTTTGAATTATGAAGACAGAACAAATTGGTGGAAATCCTCCTTAATACCCCACACTAATGATAAGTATAATAGTAGAAGTAGTGGGCATATTAGTATTAGGTACTTCTAGTAGTGAATATTATGTAGCACTTTTCAAGCACAGTGATCAATATCGAACACAAAAGGTAAAAACACATTTAGGTGACATCTAAGCTGAAAATGAACTGCAAGCACAGTTGTTTTTGTCTGCTCTTGGTTGCACGTAGAAGCTTCTTTAGTGTCAGATGGTGAGTGAGGGAGAGATTTGTGTCAGTCCTGAGATGGTTCGGGTTCTGAGCGTTAGCAGAAAGAGGGTGTGCCACAGGACAATACTGCATTTGTGTCCAGCACTGGGGGCTGGTGGAGTGGGTTCAGGACATGATGTATCCAGCCTGCTCCCCTATTTCTCTGTGTGGAAGCTCCACTACAATCCCAGGCCACGGCACAATATGAATTGTATTAGAGTTTAGTTTGGTTTAATTTTGTTTGGACCTAACATTAGCCCAAACATGGAGGCAACAATTGTTGAGTGTTCACTAAGTTGGTGTGTTTGGCAGTGTTGGATATACAGTGAGGAAGAGTGAGGGGCATGTGCCTTGTCACAGTGCAAAATAGTTCAATTCTTGAAATGGCCAGTGGAAAATAATCAGGAAAATATGCATATATTTTTTTCCATGGTATTTAGGAAGATACACCCAAGAGAGCTCTCCCATTGGTTAGGGCTTCAAGAGCTGAACTAAAGGCCATGTTAGATTAACTACTAAAATTATTGGGAAGTGACAGAGGAATGAATCAATCAAATTTCCAATGGTTTTGACCAATTTTGTGAGGGGAAAAAAACATCACTTTCCGCAATTCCTAGTGATGTCACCTACTGCGAATGTGAGCGGTAGTCTAACCAGGTTTCAGCCATACTAGGACTTATCACTGAAAGCGTTACTTTGAAACCGCAACATACAGGGTAAAATATATTTTAATAAGTGAAGCGCCATTAGCTTAGCAGTAACATACTACTAGAGTCCCATAGGGGTGCTAGCAAAAATTATTTTTAGCTTTATTGTAGAGCTTTTTAGGGGTCCAAGCATGCATGGAACCCTATTGATTTTGCTATGATTTTTCTCCTTTTTATTCTTTTTCTTCCCTAAAACGGTTTGTGGAGAAGACACTGTAAGTCATCCAAAGACCAAACTTGGAGGGTAGGTGTAGAATCCCCCCACTACTCAGGCAACTGAAATGACCCCAGTTGGCCTGATGGTGGCGCTATAGATCAATATTTTACATTATGGCTCATATCTCCTTAACCGTGGGGCCTACGGTCAGAATTCTTGCTTCTACATAATCCTTGCTTTATTCTACACAAACGCACACCTGCATATATTTAGCTCCACCTCCATATTTTCCATCATAATTGATAAAATATGTCATACCCACATTTTTCTACTAGTCTGGGGTATTTCAAGATATGAACACAATATTGGTCTCAAAATGTTCAGGTGAGTCTGGTGGTCAAGAATTATCAAAAAATATTGAATATTTGTAAACAGTATGGCTGCCATGTGCGAATAATCCCCTCTGGGTTTGGCAAACCAAATTTGACACAAATATACAAAATGACAAACTGACATTGTATTATGATTTCATTTGGAATTATACTACTCTATAGTCACAGTAATTGCAAGGTGGGAACTAATTCCCAAAATGGTGCTTGGTTCCTTATTGCTCTGTACCAATAAATTGTCTCAAAAAACAGGCTGCTGTGGGCCTCTTATAGCCTACCATGAAAACATCCACCTTTGAAGATTAAGGTTGTGGGTTTGATTCCCTGTCACATATGTTGGATGGTGCTGTAGCAATTGTTGTGAAAACACACTTAATTATCTTAATCTTAAGGAAGGGTCATCTTAAAAATCTGCCGATTTGTTGCCTTCTATGACCAGAGACATGAAATTTGTTTATGTTGCTACTTTGTCCTAAAATGGTGCATGGTTCCTTGTTGCTTTCTTTCAATAAATTGTTTCAAAAATTGCAGTTGTGCTACAGATGTCCTGTGGCTCACAATGAGAGCCTCCGCCTTTGAACTCTAGGGTCGTGGGTTTGAATCCCTGTCATGGATGTTAAACTGAGTTGCGAAAATGGTAGCAGATCCATCACCTAGTGGTCTTAATCATAAGAAAAGGAGATCTTTCTTAAAAATCTAAAGATCTCCTGCATTCTACGACCAGAGGCCACTACTTTACTCCTTGATGTCTTCCTGGTGCTTGTACCCTGCAGATTGCTGCTTGCGGCTATGTTTTTTTTTTCTTGTATTTGACCTGGTTTTGAAATGTATGGCCTGACCCCGTGGCCTAGCTCTAAAAGTTGCTGTTCACCACTGGTAATGTAGTATATGAGTTTTGTTCCCAACTGCATTGTAGACAACTCTGTAGAAGGTTCCTTTGTTCGTGATTTGTTGTTGTTGGGAGTGAGCGTTACACATACAAGAATTAAAGTGCGATATTATACATAGTTGTTGTTCTTTTCAAATACTCGTCATGTCCAAAATAGTTACAAATGGATATACGGCATTTTGGAATGAAACTCTCCACATTCTGTTCAATCATGCCTGGGATTCCCTAACTTTTGAGCAAACGACCACAAGTGAACATTATACATTTTCTGCAAACCCAAGTCTTTCAGTCACTGTGTATTTTCTTTATATTTCTAATTTGTTAATCAGGAATGTTTTCATATGCACTCACCATGCATCAGTCATAAAAAGGTGAACTTACAACCAAAGAAGTATTCCTTGCCCTGCCCTGAGCTTGCATTTCATTACATAACTTGTCAGAGTCATCAGGTGTGGCTAGGTTGTACATCACGTTTAAATCATTGTGCTTTTAAATACCATGGTGAAAGAAAGGATAGCAAAGATAGCAAAGAACAATGAGAGCGTACTGGAAGAGCAAGTGGAAAATTCCCCTGCTCAGGCTGTGAGAGCCACAGTGCATATGCAGTGAGTTATAACATGCTTTATATATATCGCGATGCTGACGTGGACGATTCTGAATCGATTCACAAACGTCAAAAATCGATTTTCTGCATATTTAATTTATAACGTAATATTGACGGAACGCAAAAGGCGGAACTTGGAAGTGCGGAAGTGCAGCGCCCGGACAGTCTGTGCCGGCACATAACAAAAACACAAGTGGAAGCGAGAGAAATCCAACCGGCTCCCTCTGCGTTAAAGCCAGGTTAGGTCAGGAGTCACAACACAAATGATAAGAAGAGCCATTTTGTCATTTCAACAAAAATCAAACCACCTTGGGAGCCACAACATTTAATGTCCAGTATGTCTTTGTATGTGTTAATGTCCTAGTTTAGGCTAAACAATATAAACGAAAACGCAGATTCCTCAGAAGTTGAGTAGTTTCTTGTAAAATGTCTCTCAGCTTCCGGCTGTTTTACGAGGCTGAAGTCGCTTCTTATTCTCCAGCTTCTTGCTGAACTTTCCGGTTCCACCTTAAATTCTGACTGAGATGCCGAATGTAATTACAGCACCATTTAAGGTGGAACAGGAAAATTCGATAGAGAAGCGGCTTCATCTTCGCAACTTTTTAGTGTTTGACAGTCTCTCGTTGCAGATTTAACGTACCAGGAAACCAACTGCGCTGCTTATAAATGCGAATAAGTCCATTCATCTCCAAATGTTCGTCTGTCTTTCTCTTTTCCTTTTTCATTCGCTACTAGCTCGGCGAAACCTCGTTGCTACGTGACCTGCAGTCTTTCGCGCCTTCTAGTTCTCTTGCCACATCACTTCCATTTGTTTTATTAATAAAAGATATTGGACATAAATGCATTATGGATCATTACAAATACTTTGTTTTAAAACTACTAAGTCCTCAAACAGTAAGAAAATAGAAATCTTGTATAGAAAAAAAGATGCATCGAGATGGAGATCGATAATTTTTTTTTTTTATTATTATTTATTTACTATTATTATTATTATTTTTTTTTTACTGGTTTAGTATGAAATGTATGACAAACATGCTTGGGAAATAATACCATTCAAAAGTGGTCTTTGTATTAGATCTAATATTGTAAAATAAAACAAAAGTGGACACTGAGTTTCTTCCATAATGCCATTAGTAATTTGGCTTTTGTGTGTATACTGTACGTTACACAATGTATTTATTACACTGATTAGTAAGTAATTTCATGTGGTAGCCTTTTGGTTTTGGCAGTGTTGTGTTTATTTATCTGTATTGAATTCAAAGTTACCCACTTTGTCTCTTTGTCTATTTCTTTCTGTGTCTTCTCTCTACTTCTCTCTCTCAATCTGTGTCTCTCTCAGGAGGAAGGTCGTGGTCAGGGTTTCACCGAGGGTTCGTATCAAGGCCAGCAGCTCTTTCGATGTGAGGACGAGTGTGGAGTCTTTGTCGCACTCGATAAACTTGAGCTGTGGGAGGATGAGGAGCTGGAGGTGGATCATGTGACCCTAGAGGATAATGACCTGGAAGGGGAAGGAGATTTCCCACCGCTGGAGATCAACTCTCGTGTGCTGGTGCAGACCCGGGAAGGGCCCGAACGAGGGACTGTCATCTTCTGTGACCTGTTGCCTGGCAATGAGACACTGGGCTATTATGTTGGTGTCGATATGGTAATTTGTTTAAAACTTCAGTTATGTTTCACATCCACTTGTGTGCTAACCTGAAAATGTGTTTTCTGTGGGGGTTTGCTGTTGAGAATGTGTTGAAGCAGTGTCTGTGTCTTTTGTCTTGGCTTGGACTATCCTGTGTTTTTAAGTTACTGGACAGCTAATCATCATGTGGTTGGCCACAGGACTTGTTACAACATCTAAACATCCCCAAAGTAGACTCAGTGAACTTTAGATAAGTCTGTGCAGGCCCATTTTTATTGATGTTTTAATGTAGTAAGTAAATGGTAGTAGTACACCGCCATTCGCAAGTGTGGAATGTTACATGTTAATTAAAACCAAGGTACATGTATAGAGTGATTCTTCTCTGCAACCTCATTGGTTTTAACAAGTTTGTAGAAAGCTGTAAACAATGAAGAAATGTTAGATGTGTCCAGAATGCTTAACAGAGCTGTAGGTGAAACATTGAAACATTGAATCAAGTTATACTAAAATTAACATACAGAATGCCTTGTATTTAAAAAAGGGTGATCAAATCTTGAGGCAAATAATGTATCAAGAAATTACTATGAGTTAGGCTTGCAGCTGTCAAATATTTTTATATTTGATCGGTAATTTAAATATTTTAAAAGAGTTAAAAAAAAAAGCTCAAGATATCATACTAATCATATCATATTATATTATATTAGATTATATTATATTATCAGCAAGGTTTTTAAGCAGCTGAAAACCACTTTATATTAGAGCATACATTAAACACTCAACCATGTTGGCTGAATATGTATTCTATTGCTCCGGACAGCCAGCCAGGCAGAGTGTTCTCATAGTAAATACAGATAAATACAACTGAGAACATACTGTATAGCAATCTGGAACAGTACGACTGCACTGCACCGACCATTAAGACTGACTGTTGTCTCAAATTGTATAGTTACATTTAGCAAACAAATGATTCTTTACCTGCTGAAGTGCAGAGAATTTATTGAATATTATTAAATGTTATTGAGCACTCATAGCACCTCTACTTTGAGTAGATAATTACAGTATAGCGTTTGTGATTTTATAACTTCACTTTATTTATAAAACATTCATTTAACAAAAAAAAAAAAAATCTTCATGTCTGGCTTTATAGTATTTTAGTCTGTTATGATTGAATAAAATAACAGCAATAATTAATATGACCACAAATTCCAAACTTTTGAATGGATGTGTATATTAGTAGTGGGCGCTATGGCCAAAAATGTATATCACGGTGTAATTTCTGCCCCATGGGCCTGCCAGATTAATTTCTATAAGGTTGACTTCTTACTTGCCAGCTTTTTGTTCAAATTTTCTCACCCACGTTAAATATAGCAGCAGTTACATTCTGGCACCTGTACAGGCACCTAAATGTAACTGCTTTACTCTCTAAGGTGGAACAGGAAATTTGAATAAGAAGCCAACTTCCACTTTGTTGAATCTCTGAAATCATTTGTCTCGTGTGCACTCGTATGAGAGGAAGCAGAAGCTCTCTGGTTAGTCATGTTAGGCTAAGGCTTACCCCAAATGACTGGCCATTTCTTTATTTAGTGAGTCGGCTACTCAGCTAAGCAGGCTAATGTTAGCGTGGATAGCACCGCTTGTACATTACATTATCTGTGCTTATATGTGGCAAACAGATATGATGGTTATGATAAGGAAGATGAGGAAGAATTTTGACCAGTATGGTGAATGAACCTAGTGCATACATTTGACTTCTAATCAGTTTTAATCACTGTTTTGAAATTAGATCAAATACTAAATGTTTTAGCTTAATCCTTGCACTGCTTTTTTCAATAATGTTCTGTTAAACATTGTGTCAAACGTCGCAGTGTGATATAATGACTAACTAATGCAGCCAGTGAGAGCAGTATATGTGGGATGTTTTTACTTCAGCTCTTGCCCTCCGTGCTTTGCTGTCGCCTTAGCCGTTGACTAGCAGCCCACTCGCTGTCGGCCCAAAACAAAAGAGCAGTCACGCTTTAGGGAGGGCGGATGGAGGGATGAAAGGATGGAGGGATGAGAGGGGAGGGAGAAAGAGAGAGTATGACCAGCGCTGTGGCCTGCTGCCAGACGCTCGGACAAGACACCACCATTGCACGCATACACTCGACTAGACCCAGCCCTTCAGCTTCAACTAGATCTACATACAGCCAACCAAGCAGACCAGAGATACAACACACTGGCTTTGAGTAGAGCAGAAGTTGTGGAGCCTAGATTGGTTTGGTCTCAGTGCTAGTTGGATAATTTCATCAGTATTTGTTCTTAGTGTGAAGGAGCATAGAAGCAGATGCTTGGATAGTTGGATAGTTGATCTAGTGCAGCATTCAGTTTTCATACAGATGCTATGGATAGTGTTATAGGGACTCACATAGATGACCTGTGAGAAATGGCTATCAAAATAAATGGTACCGAGTAGAGTAGATTAGGATTTTAGAAACTTGTTAGCCCTTGCTCTGTTTTTTCGTTAAAGCAGGTGAGAGTAGAAAAAGGTGTATAGAAACAAGACAGCTGTGCGTTTGTGTGTATGTGTATTAAGGGGTCCTAAATAATGGTGATTGAGCAGTAAATGTAGGGTGTGAGATGAGCTAGGCCAGTGTCAGTAATAGGGTGCTGTACGTCTCACCCTCAGGACAATCCTATTGGAGACTGGGACGGCGTGATCGACGGGAAGCTGCTGTGTAATTTCGCCAGTCTTGAGCACACCCGTCTCGTGCCCATCTGTGACGTCATGCCAGGTAAGTGCTTTCTATTTCATCTACCTGTTTGGCCTGAACTGGTCATTTTGATGGTATGGAATTGAGGCAGTGTATGGGTGTGTGGGTTTGTGTGCTATGAGTTCCAGTCAGGCTGTGAATTAATAGGCTGCTTTGTATTCTTGGTTGAGAACAACCATACCAGACTCAAACAAAGCACATTTGTTTTCCCTCTGTGGTTAAAGGTTAAATAGTACTTTAACATGTTTCCTATGCATGTGCATGCACTTGTGTGTAGGTTAGTGTGTTGCCATGGAAGGGAACAATCAGAGAATTTAGTGTTTGCTGCATTTTCTTTAATAATATCTTTGTGATATATGTAGGCCTGTGTGATTTTTGTAATTTGGAGGTCAAGTTAAAGGAATAGTTTCATGAAAAAACAAATCTGCACAGTTTTCCTACTTACTCTAGATTTAGGTAGTCAGCTAAGACATGACTGGAGACCAATTTTGGCTTCTTTAGTTTTCAACTGGAGCCATGAGGGCTACTACAATATAGCCCAAATAGCCCAAACCATTTCACTAAAAAAGTATTCTCTAAATGTCTTTCAACCTCAAACTGCATGCAGGTGTTCATTAACATTGCAGGAACTTGTCAGTGTGGTTTAGGACACATGAATTCAAAAAAAATTAACACAACTCGCTGTGTAGCTGAAGCTATTGACAGACACAGCTTGAGCTCAAGTAAACAAATATTACTCAGCTGCCCCTAAATGTTACACCACCAGGTCATAAGTTAGAACTTTTTGTTTTTGAAAGATATATCTCAATAAATGGGTTTTCTACTTTTCTACTTTTTTATTTACATGTATTTGTATCCCAACTGATGAAAACTGACCCAGTTTTACATTCTGTTTGTTATAATGTAAACTTATTATTGTGAAAGCTAATAAATAATTGCTATAATGTCAAATAATTGCAATCGGGTGATTATGTAATAATTGTGAGAAGCCCACTCCAAATATAGTGCTCTCCATATATTTTATTTGCCTTTGTAGTCCATAGTTTTAAATTTGTACTCAAACAATTCACATAGGGTTAAAGTGCACATTTTAAGATAAATAAAGGGGATTTTTAAACATTTTAGTTTTACCATGTAAAAATTACAGCACTTTTTATACATAGCCCCTGCCCCCTCCCCTTCAGGACTGACTTGGCCAGTCAAGAATTTACCAGTTTTTGGCTTTGAAAACCTACATCTGCCTCCTGAAGAGTGTTTCTGATCAGTCGGACAGGTGTAAGGGGATTTTTCTTCATTATGGTGAAATTCTTCTGTCATCAGCTATGGTGGTCTTCCTTGACATACCTAGATGAATGAACGTACTTTATATATTGGACTTCTAATCAGTTTTAATCACCTTTGATACTTGATTAAATACATGAAGACCAACATTTGATTTTGGCAAGCCAATGGTTTGGCCGATGTTTCTTATTGTTTTATTATTGTTTCTCAGCCTTATAATGGTTTCCTTGACTCCTCATGTTGACAAACAACAAAAGCAATCTCCATGGATTACCAAAAGCCTAGAATCATGACTAGATGTTAAAAGCTTTCTTACACCTACGCTAATGAAGCAATTATATATACTTGTGTAATCCCAAACACGTGTGAAGGCCTGTGTTCCAAACAATATGATGCGTTGAAGTGGAGAGGGGTGTGCTATATATAAAAGGTACTGTAATTTCTACATGGTAAAACAGAAATATATGCAAATACCCTTAATTAAAATCTGAGCGTGAAACTTCAACCACGTGAATTGTTTGAGTATTAATTTAAAATTAGTACAGAGACAGATAAAAAATATGTGTACACACTCTTGCACCCATGTCCCAAACTTTGTGGAGGGCACTGTATGTCTTGGCATTGACTTCATCTTGGGTAAAGGGAAAATTGTGTAAATGTGAATTATTTATTTATTTATTTATTTAACTTTTTTTTTTTTACCTATACCTTTAAGAGCATATAGTTTCACTTGAATTAGGGCCTGACTTATATCAGTTGGCCTATACATTCAGCCCACATTAAGGTTTTACAAACGTACTGGTATCAGCAAAATTCTGCTAGTAAAGTGCCACTATTGATTGAAGTTGCTTATTTATTGTTATAATTAACACAGGTGAGGAAAACTGCACCTTTATAAGGATTTTAATGGTCTCGTGTTTGTATGTCTTATGCAGAGATTTGTAAGTTGGCAATTCTTAGCTGCTCATCCTTTTTCACAGTAGTTCAGGCTGAACACATGAACAAAAAACACAATCATGGTTAAAATAACAAGAACATGCAAAAAGCGTTCAGACCTAAAATGCCATTATATGAGGAAAACTAATGGAAAAATCAGAGCTCATTAATAGAAACCAATATAATAAACATAAGAATACTAGAAGTGGCACTACCGGCACTGGAGTTTGCCAACGGCGATTTAGAGCTAAATGTCAGATTTGACAAGTCAAAGTTGACAGCAGTCAGTAAAGCTAAATTGATAGCTAAAATTGGTATCGGTGTCTGTAACCAAATTTTCATTTTGATCAGTTCTTAAATGTAACAGAGCACTGATGTGGTGTGTGTTTCTGTGTGAAAGGGGTAGAGAAGTTGCATCTGTGTGGGTGATCTTGTGTATCGACAGGCTGCAAACAGAAGCGCTGTTGTCTGAAAAACTTGTTTTCAAAACTGTGTGAGGCTTCAGCTTTGTCTGTTCTTTCTGTCTGCTTAATGATTTGTCAATTTTTATATCCACGCATGTAGATGTAAAGGATATTTCACATAAGATGTGTTTCAGTCTGAAGGTGCATAATAATGATAAATGTGTTACTGTATCAGTGAAGAGTTCCTTCATACTGACTGGAGAGATCTGAATTGTGTAGGCCTACAGAATGCAGCCTACGAATGTGCATGTAGAATGTGCATTTTTTTCTTTGTTTGTTTGTTAATTCATGAATTAATTACAGTCCATTTTTCCCTTTCTAACTCAGATTAGCAGATTTCAGAAATTAACCTCATATTTGCTTAATACTTTCAAAAAATAATGTGATTCTGCCTAAGAGAGAGCATGCAGAATTCCTGGCTTGCATCATCATTAGTTTCTGAGATATAAATGCTGTTTACAGGCTCCATCATATATGCTTTAAAATAAAGCTTTGGAAAAAGCTGATATTGATAGAACATTCCTTTAGAACTATTAATGCTAGATGTTTGGTTTATAAAGTTGTGTTTTGGGCAGCTTTGGTTCTGTGGACCTGTATCTCCACTCTGATCAGATATTTCAAACTTATGTATTTATTACTTGTATTACAGTACCTTTCTAGCACAAGGTATTTTTATTTTATTTTAGGTATTCTAGCAGAATTATTTTTAAAAAATACAGTTTATATGCTATACATGTGGATACACCAAGTTTTACATTCTCTATACGTTTGTTTTCAAGAATTGAAATGGACTAGAAATCAATTTATAGTCCGTTAGTTTATGTCAGAAGAATTCATGTGTGACTGAATACTTTACAGTTAATACTGGGCCAAAGACTAATTTACATGGTTTTCTATGCATAAAGACAAATAAATAAATTTGCATTTGATTATCATAGTTTGAAGAATGCTTTAGGAAGTTGATTGCTCATGTCTGTAAACATCCAGAAGGGGGAGCTCTCGTTGGTTTTACTTTAACAGCAAAGCTGAAACATCACACTTGATCGTTTATTATCCTATATCAGTGGGTACAACAGCATATTTCCACAAAACCACCTCTATGTAATATTTAAATAGGTGGAAAAGCTCCAGTCGTCATGTATCACTTTTGACAGAATAAACCATTGAAAAAGAGGGCAGATAAAACTGAACACAAGGGGGCGTGCAGTACAAAGATTTTGCTCACATTTGCGATTTAAAATATATTCTGCTTGAAGATAAAATGTCACTGGCATATGTACCATCCTGTACATTGCTGTCATCAAGGTTTGCTAAATGACTGAGAAATGGACGAGGGCCCTCTCCACCAGAGCTTAATAAATGGTTTACTTTAGTGTCACTTTGCTTGCTGGTTGTGTTGTTAAAGGCACTTGCTGACATTGCTAATGTTCTCATAGGCTAAGTAGATATGTCATGTCGTACTTCCTCGCATTTTTTGACATTATAAAGTCTGATATGGTCATTTTGGAGATCTTCAGTGATTTCACTGAATTTGACACCGATCTGACCTGTTTCGGATGCTAGAATGAGTTACTAAATTGTATCCATGCGTTTGTATGTGTCTTTATTTTACAGAGTACTCCCTGCAGGACCCAAGGCTGTCCAAACCCAGCTTTACTTCGAGAGGAAGTGCTGATAAGTCTGGCAGCCAGGGCAAACCAAAGAACAAAGGTACTAGATAGGACCTGATTTGAGTCCACATTACACGTTACCTCTATACCATTCTAATCTACAGATCTGTGTTGAGTGCAACATTTATTTAGTCATCATTTTATTACAAAATCTAAAAAATGACATTAGTTTTAAGTTGAACACAGTTGCCTCCCAGAAGCAGCTTTGTTTAAACTGAAAGCTATGCGAGAAGTGGATCATACCAAGAGAAAGTAAGTACATCTAGTCAGCACACACTGCCAGGGCGACCTTTACATCCTAAACCAGTCTGTCTACAGGATTCTTCAGTTTGTCTGCAGAAAGTATTTGTGTAGTCTTTCTCTTTGCTCCAGTGTCATCTCAAATATGCTGTTTTTATGCATGCTAGTTAAATCGATCATCCAAACTGTACTAATGTTGCTAACAGTGATAAAAAATGATCCTCAAAGACAAAATTAGCATTTGTTATAAGCCCTATTAATGCTATTAGGTTGAACTATACCTTTAAAATAAATGCGAATTGTGACGTAATCTAAATGTACCGGTGATACCAAGTAAGTATAAATTTATCAGTTCATTTATTTGATGTTAGTTTTCTGTCAAAGTTCTTTAGAAACTATAATATATTAATATGTATGATAAAAGTTCGTTGAGAAATCTCTTCATCCTCAGAATATACCTAACTTTGGCATTGTCAGGAATGTCATCTGGATGTTCTTTTGCTCTGTGGGGGTGGGTTATTTTGGGGCTTTCTTCTTGTCAGGTTTTGCTGAAACTTCTTTTTTCTCCTGAGCAAGCATGAGCTGATGTGGATATAATGAGCTACCTGTGCACAGCATGTCTCCAAAGCAGCAGTCTCTCTCTCTCTCTCTCTCTCTCTCTCTCTTTCTGTCTCTTCCTTTTTCTATTTGTCATTCTTTTAAGAAAATAATGTAAGAAATGTTATGTTCTGAAATCTCTTGTTGAAATCCTTTAAACAGTATTGTTACAGTTGTCTATGACACATGCTTTTATTATCTGTTTACTGGTTTTGACATCTGTATCCTGAAACTGTGTTCAACAAACTGGCTTGCACACTATGGTAGAAAGCTAAAGCAGTGAAATCCAGTTCACTTGCTGACATTTATGTCGAGTACTCGTCTTGAATAATCCAGCCTGTGTAGTTCAAACTGTATGATTGGCTGTTTCTTGTTTGCCTCAGTTTTGCAGTTAATAATATCCATATTCTATTTTAATTAACTTTGACAATGCAACTTCTCAGTTATGTCAATTTGAAATAAAATCATATGTGCGCAGTGAGAGGACAAGATAAACCTGTTCAAAGAGTGGAGGCTGCACTCTGACATAAAGTGTTACCACATTTACATAAATTTCTCTTTACTCCGGATGTAGTTTTGGATGTAATCAGCCATGACATTGTTGTTGACTAAAGAAGTTCGCTTCTTTAGTTTTGCACTGGAGCTACAACACTAATGTAGTCAACAAGTAAGTAGGAGGCTTAAAACCACTAATTAGCATTATGCAAATTGCATGCCGAGCTTGCACAATGTGAAAGAAATAGACTTATGTGGTTTCTGACACCACCAGCGTACTTTTCACAAATTAGCAAAACAATCCAGGCTCCATGATGACTGCCAGTACTGTTTTTAGTTATGTGTCATGCTTCTGTCCATGTTTTTAGAAGACAGTATCATACAGCTTTAGAAACATCTTGAGCAAGTCTTTTTGAGATTACGTGAGACAAGTGTGTGAGGATTTAAGCGTTCAGTTGGTGGTGTGTATTCCATTACTTGTTTGCTACATTAGCCTTGTAGCTATATGCAAAACTAAAGAAGCCAAAAACAGATGTCTCGTAAGGGGAAATTTGGTTTTATTTGGATAGTAAACTAAAAGCTATAAATTATGTACAGATGTTCAGATTTTTAGCAAACTATCTGGTGGAGCTCAGTTGATGCTCAGCAGTGTTAGGGTTAGAATTTGGATCAGGGTGAGGGTTAGTCTTAGGTTATGGGTTGAGGTTAAGGTTAGAGCCAGGTTAGTGTTAGTAAACGTGAAGGTGAAGTAAGTCAATGGTAAGTTAAGTATGTACAAAGCATCTGAACTGTACTTTCCAAATATATCTCTTTAATTTGGAAACACATACACGGCCACACACACACTTACCCATGGTTTTCAATGTGTTATTCAGGGTTAGGTCTACAGGCTGCCAGCAGAAGCAAGTCTGAGTTTTATTATACGCTAAATGGCAGCTCTGTCGATCATCCGGCCCAGTCCAAATCCAAAAGCACATGGTACATAGATGAAGGTAATCAATGGCAGAGAAATGTGAATGATCAGCAGAATGCTTAACGTGTAAACTGATTAGTGGATCTTATCAGCAAGGTCCTATCTAGAAGGTGCTCCACATCCAAGCACAAATTTAATTTGTGTCCATGTCTGTGTTAGGGGTGTAACGATACATGAATTTTCAGGTTCAGGTTTGATTCCAAGGTCAAAATTTGTGCCAGCCATCTGACAAAATAACTTGAAAAGAGATCTATTGTGTCTAAATATTAAATATTAAAAATTCTTTACTATGTGTATACAGTAGAAGTGTTACGATAAAATGCATCATATTGTATCATAATGTATTGCATTGTGTTGTATTGTGGCCAGCGTGTTAGCTCATGGCTAGCATGTTAGTTTGGGTCTAGCATGTTAGCTTGTGGCACAGCTTTTGTTTAGTGTTTCTATGCTGCTAAGAAACCAGGCTGCATAGAGCAGACAAAACTTGACTGGTCCATTCTAAAGTCTGAAATATTGTACTTTTATAAAGTTAAATGCTCTTATAAACTTGAAATAGAAACTTTACCAAACTAATATTTTCAGGCACGTTTTACGAAGCCACTGTGTCATTTTAAACTGATTTAAGAAGTTTGTGAATTGTTACACCCCTAATATACATGCTCTATATGTCCAAAAGTTTGTAGACACCTCTGCATCCAGCATTACTTTTGCAATCAACTGTATTAATAGGGAATTTGTCCCCCCTTTGCTGCAGTAACAGCCTCTACTCTTCTGTGTTGGAACATTGCTTTGAGGATTTGATTGCGTTTGGTCACAGGAGCATTAGTGAGGTCAGATACTGATATTGGATGATCAGTTCTGGATCACAAATGCCACTCCAACTCACCCAAAAGATATTCACTCCAGAGGATGCAGTACCATTGTTCCACAGCCCAATGCTGGACATTGGACATGGTGACCTTGCTCATGTGCGGCTGCTCCAGAATTTTAGTGCTTCTCTATGGAGATTATACAAGCTACAATTTTATATAAGTGTGATAATACTATGGAGATCATACAAGCTACAATTCTATACAAATGTTTGGGCAATTGAATGCCTCTGTCAGTAGTGGGTGCACCTTGAAGTAGATAAATTCAGAAGAGGTGTCTGGGTACTTTTGGACATATAGTGTATTTGTACCATTTTGTTTCATGAGTATTTAGTTTATTAGTGAGAGATTATTTGTTTACTATTGGAACTTGCTGCTAAGAGTCTTACTTCACCTGTATCTGAAATAAGCCACAGTGAATTTTGGTATCGATCTGTAAGCAGAGGGCTTTTATGGATCACATTGTTGTTACCAGACAAAATGTTATGATGTTCATATTATTTAAATATTCAGACATTATTATAAATATATTTTACAATGAATTCTCGGCAGTGTTGCCATGGTTAAAAAAAAAAAAAAAAGTTCCTGCTTCAGTCAGACTTTAGCTTTGCTTGCTAGCACTGAACTATTGTAATTCAGTGTCTGCTTTGAATGAACAAAGCACTTGTATGTTCTGGTGAAAGCCTTTTGCAAATGATGATTGATTCCACCCCGAATTTTTGTATATGTGTGCGTGCACGCATATTACGCCTTTCAGTGGTCTCAGCTTTGCGTCACAGTGGGTTTGTCCATCTCAATGACATCAGTGAATGTTCCCGATTGTCATCCTCACTTTGTGCTGCATCCTTTACCTGCATGGAGAAACATTTAGAGGTGTGCTGTGGTGCTGGTGGAGGGGTTAATGTGGTCACAGTCAGGAAGGGTGATGGCATTGTCATGGGTTGCATGTTAAATAAGTCGCTGCTCTGCTGTTGCATAGTGATGTCTGTGGGTTCACATGCTTCATCTTCTTTTTTTGTGCCAGCTTCTTCCTTCCCACTATTTTCTCATATTTACCATTCCCCATGTTTCAGCTGTCCTTTACAATGTGTACTGCTCTGAAAGATGTAATGGAATAGTTTGCAAAAAGATGGAATTTAAACAATTTCTTATTTACCCCAATTATACAATGATCAGGCACGACATTTCCTTTTTTGTTTTGCTGGTGCTACGAATGTAGTAGTTAACAAGTAATAAAAGCTTATACTTCAGATTAGCACTGCACAGATTACTTGTCAAATAGACAACAGTGCAGAAAAAAATATTTGTAAATGTTTTGGACAAATGTCCATTATTTGTTGGTGATGTTAGCTTCCTGGCTTCAGTGCAAAACTAAGGAAGCAAACTTCAAACACCAACCTTTACTTGGCTGATTGACTACATTTGGGGTAAATTAGATTTTTTTGCCAAACTATTTCTTTCACATGATTAATTTAGCAATTACACCAATGTGGAAAGGTTCTTTAAGTATTCTATAGGCCTGGCCTGACTAATTTGAATATTCAAATACTTGTTCATTACATTGGTATTCGATTCTATATTTAGTATTCAGAAGCTATAAACCACAAAATTTTACAAGATATTTCATCAGCAAAGGCCTGTTCAAAATAGCAGTTATCGTAGATGGGCAGAAAATATTACTTTCTTTGTTTACTTTATTTGTTTAACAGGGACATTAGTCTACATCATTCTGAAATAAAAATTTGACAATCATATTTTCAAAATAACACGGTTACAATTATATTTCACAAGAAGAAACATCAAAGAGAAAAGAATGTGACTTTACATACAAACTCTCCAAGCACTGAAGTAATGAGATCATTTAGGATTTTAAAAACTAATACTGTGAGAATTTAACTGGATTTTCCCATATGTAACTAAAGTATTACAATGATGATGTTGATTTAATGTTTTACTCAATACTTTCAAGGCTTATTTACATACTGTTAGGCAGCTTAAGAGTAGTCTTATATGTTCGTGTCTGGCTAGCGTGACCCCTAGATTAAGAATGTACAAAAATGAATAATTATAGCTTGTTTAATTGAATACAGTTAAATCCATACCAAGCTTTCAAATCATCTCACCTCAGAACTGCAACAATTTCTGTGTGTGGGACCACTTTAAATTCTCAGTGAAAAAAATTACAATAAGAGTTTGGTATACAAAAGAGGCGCAATTTGATAAATCATCTCAAATATGTAAATATAGCAATACTTATCTGAGTACCGTTAGTCTACAGTGAGGATGATGCTAAAACTGAGGAACTGACAACCTCAAACTCATTTTTTGCAGTGAGTTTTGGCCGTGTTGAAGTAGGGGAACTCCAGTGCTGCTGCTGTTGTGGTCATTTCCAGGCAGAGGAGCCTGGGGTGGGGGTACATCTGCAACGTGGAAATGGTCACAGTTGCAGCGGTCCTTCAACCCAACCCTCCACTCTTTGTAGTTCGGCTATACACAAGCTGAACTCGGCCTGTGTTTCACCCTCACTGCTGCTTTCTGTGATTTACAAGAACTACAAACTAGCCAAATAAAACAATAACATGCAAATAATTGCAAAATAACTAAAACAAACTAAAATTGTAGTGTAATGAATAAAATGATCATTCTAATTTGTTACACCCTCAGCCTCAACATCACTCATAAAAAGCTATATTTGAATGAGGGACCTGCAAACATGTGCTTCCGCCTGACAATTTATGCATCATTGCTGCCTACTTGGCATCTTTTGAACTGTTATTACAGACTGAATTACAGGTAATTATGAAGCATAAATATTATTTTTATTAAGGGTGATTTTGAGTATTCAAGTTCTCATTCGGAAATGTGATCTAGACTGAAGGGCAGTGAGCAGAAGGCCAACAAACACTTGAAGCCTGTAAGATTCTGTTTGGGCCAGCCCTACAGTCTCTATATTTAAATCTCTCCGTTCTAATTCTAAGGAAGTCGGAATCTCACAAGGCCACTTAAAAAAAATCAATAAATCTTTCAGGGTGCTTTTCCACATTGGTCCATTGCTCACTCTTTGCACTGAAAATATTTTAATGCTTGCACTAAATTGGCTTACTCTTTGCTGTCTCTCCTGTCAGTCGGTGAAGACCCAGCCAAGTCCCTGACGGAAACTCCCCCCGATTTCAACCAGGCTTCACCCCCTCCCAGAGCTCCGTCCACTGTGACCTCGCTGTCCAGCGACAACAAGTTCCACTCGCTGCCTTTCAGTCTGAATCGCAAGAGTGGGCCTAATGGGAGCATGAGCCACGGTCCACTCTCCCTCTCCGTCCAATCGGTGATGGGAGAGCAGCAGGAGGCCCCGCCTCCTGTGACAGCCCCTTCCCCTAGACCATCGTCTCCTCCAAAGGATCAGCCAGGGTTAGAGGTGGGGTCACTGGTAGAGGTGAAGGAGAATCCCCCTCTTTGTGGGGTGATACGCTGGGTCGGCCTGCCGCCTGGACTACTGGAGCCTCTTGCAGGGCTGGAGCTGGTGAGGGTTTATGTATTTATTTATTTATTTATTTATATTTTAAGGGCTCATATAATTAAAAAACAGTTTTTAGTGTGCTTTTTAAATGAGTTTGATTAACTATATAAACCAGCTTCAAAGTATAATGTTCAGATATCTATGCAGTAAATATAGGGAAACTACACTGTAAAAACAACCTGATTTGAAGTCCTCCTGCATGTGATAACACAAGAATAAACTAATTCACATATGGCCACTCATTCAGAATACAGCGGTGCAACCTGCCCACTCACAGTGCGGCAGTAAGCAATGTTGTTATTGCAATCTGTAGACAGTCTATAAGAGTTATTGAAGAAGACTATATAGAGAAAAACGATTAAACATTGTGCTGTTCCTTGCTGTCGGGAAGCGAATTTGTCATTACAGCCTTCCAGACAACTGAAAAGAGAGGCTTAACCTCTTAAAATCCCAGGCTTATCACATACTAAGGTTTATTATTCAGTAACTACAGGGACTTCAACACAAACTGCTAAAGCTATTCTTAGGTTATAGATGTGTGTAATAAAACTTTGGCCCTGCCAACGGGCCCTGGCCATTTAAGGCGTAAAAAATTACTCTTTTAGAACTTAACAGTTGGTTCACTTTAATTATTATTTCTTCAACAGTTAGTGGATTACTATGAAAGGAACCACGTCTACTGGTCAGAGGTAGAGTAGCCATATGTTCTTCTCAAGCTCTGTCTATGAAAATAATTCTACTGCCTACTTCCGTCTGGTGTGTTTGTAGGAAGAAGAGTGTGTAGGATGCACTGATGGCACATTTAAAGGCACACGTTACTTTACCTGTCCTCCGAAGAAAGCTCTGTTCGTCAAACTGAAATGCTGCCGACCTGATTCTCGCTTCCCCTCGCAACATCACTCGCCCAACCCAATCGAGCGCTGCAATTCTATAGGTAAAGACACAGACATACGCACTCCCACCATTGCATCCATCTTTCTACCCCATGCATTGCCATGAGGAGAGATTTGAAAATGATTAGGTGAACAGTTGACTTTATATATAATATATAATATATATATAATATATAATTTTCATAGGTGCATATATTTACGAAAATTTGAACACCACCAGTGAAATTACATGTTTTTCACAATTTTGTAAGTAAAAATAAATTAATAAATTAACACATCATCTGAAAAAAAACGAATTTCTGCAGGTTTGTAACAAATTCGGATTTACATAATTAGCCCCTCAGCCGAAATGTGGCCAAGGCATGTTAACAAGTAACGTACGCTTATGTACACAGTTTAGCATTGTGCAGATCATATGTCTAAGGTTAGAAGTATACTTCAAACTGTGAAAGAACTAAGCAAAATCAGACTACCGCCAAAGATACTGTTGTAAGTATACTTAAAAAGAACTTCGGGTAGGTCTCAGTGCTGCTAAAAACGTGCTTCATGCAGTGGACCAGTCACAGTCAGGGGGAGGTCTCAGGACAAACGACACGTTGATTAGGGATTCTGTTTAGCAGCTGGCCCACATCATACAAACTCAAACCTACATGTCATTGTGGCTGAAAAGTATAGATGCACAGGAATCTGCGAGATTGGAATTATTAAATTGAAGTCGGCAATTGGTCAATTTGTTGTTTTTATTTTGGCAGATCTGTGTTGTGTTATATGAGATAAAAACATGAGACAGGTGCTCTCACTGTATTTAAGTGCTGCTGCTATGCCTGTAACTAAATGTTGTAGCATAATAATGCATAACTCATTGTATTAAATAGTCAGTCGCAAGTATCCTGCTGACTTTAATGGGTACACACTTGCATCAAAGCCCCAAACGTATCTTGACTGATTTTCCACATTTACGGCTTGTGAAAAACTGTGCAAATTTAATTTTCTCCTGAGCTACGGTCTAATTAGGAATGTTCACAAGAATGAATAATGATGAAGAGAGCTGTGGTAAGTTGGTTTAATGAATGTGTGTGTGTGTGTGTGTGTGTGTGTGTGTGTGTGTGTCTACTGTAGCGTTTGGGGGTTACCTGAGTGAGGTAGTGAACGAAAACACTCCTCCTCGAACGGAGAATGATGGGTTGGAGGTGATGGTGGGGAAGAAGAAAGGCATTCAAGGCCACTACAACTCCTGCTACCTGGACTCAACACTGTTCTGGTACACACATGCCCACAGTTTGACATGCTTAAAAAAATAGCCTAAGAAGGAATCAAGACTTTAATGCATTTGAAAGTCTGTTGGATGTTATATTTAACAGGAATCAACACCCATTCTTTACCTGTAACCAACAGTATGCAGCACTTGCTTACCTCGGTTTCTATTTTCTTTCTTTCTCAGTCTCTTCTCATTTAGCTCTGTGTTGGATACAGTATTACTGAGGCCAAAATCTAAGACTGATGTAGAGTACTACTTAGAGACACAGGAACTGCTACGCACTGAGATAGTCAACCCACTGCGCATGTGAGTCTCTCACACCTACACACGATCATATACACATTATGTCCTCCTCTTAAGAACAGTGTCCATTTACTGAAAAGCTAAATGATACTCGTCATTAGTTTAGCCTGTAGAGAATGATTCAGCTACTCAATGTAAGGAGAGATATACTGGAGCAGCAGTCAATTTTGATCTCACAAAGAAGAGAAGCTTCCTCCAAGTTACCCTATATTTACTTATGGAGTAAGAGTTTTCTAAACCCAACTTTAACCTCAATACCCAAAAAGGAATAGGTTTACTTGACTCATGTAGCTTTTGTAAAAAGCATTTTACAAACTCGGGACCATTTTATTTGCACAAACATTGTGGGTTAGCCCTGTTTTACTCCTACAAAGTCAGGACATTCTGTCCTGAAAATGTATGAAAATGCACACTCACACACGTATGTATATTTGATGCTCATTTTCTAACCTTTTTAACACTTAACGTCTTTGTGTATGTGTCTTTTTGGCTGTGACAGACACGGCTACGTGTGTGCAACTAAGATCATGAAGTTGCGGAGAATTCTTGAAAAAGTGGAGGCAGCATCAGGCTTCACCTCTGAGGAAAAAGGTGAGGCATACTGTAGTGAGCTGCCAAGCTTCACTTTTCAGTTTGCAAGTTCTTATCTTACCAGATCTTAAATCATGCCCTTCATTGGTATCCGTTATTACATCAATACATTTGCAAATCAGGACTTTAAACATAGCTGGGATGGGTGCCAGTATTTTTCTCTCTTTTGATGGGAAAAAAATCTGAAAAATGGCAATGACGCATGTCAAGGTTTTTTAGAAGAATATTCAACAGATTCTCTGAACCTGATTCAAACTATGTGAATATACTGCCCCCTGCTGACAGCCCACTCAGGAGACAGGCAAGTGTTGTAGATGGTTCAAAGTGAATCAGAAAACATACTGCATTTTCCTTTTGTACCATGATGGGTTTATGAGTGAACCTCAGTGTTAGGTAGGCTCTTTGAGGTAGCTTATCACTTTTCGCTCAGTAATAATAAGGTGGAAGTGGGGACTGAAACATGATATTAGTTTTTTTGTTTTTTTTTTTCATTTTTGGGGGTTGAGAAAAGTCATTATATTTTGATGAAAGATTCCAACAAAACAACAGTTTTGTGAATTATATGAACAATCATGCTTAATCACTTAATATGACCATGTACATTAAAAGAGGCCAATTTTTAGTTCAGGTTGACTTTATTTTGCTGTTTGTATGGAACAGTCTTACTACCTGTCTTTTGTCTCCATACAGATCCTGAAGAATTCCTCAACATTCTTTTTCACCACATTCTGAGGGTCGATCCACTGCTCAAATTACGGTGTGTGTGTTTTGTTTCTTTTTTTTTTTCTCTTCTCTCAATTTTAACATACATGAAACGCATCCATGACCAGCACGTTGCAAGTATTATTTGGGTGGTGGATTATTCTCAGGACTGTAGTTACAGTAGGTGGCATGTTAGTGTGTGTTACGCTGGTACGAGTGGCTCAGACACGGCAGTGTAGCTGGAGTTTTTAAATGCTGTGGCAACTTAATGTCCACTCTATTAGACACACCTATCTTGGTTGTCCACCTTGTAGATGTAAAGTCAGAGACAGTAGCTTATGTGTTGCTGCACAGTTTGTGTTGGTCATCCTCTAGTCCTTCATCAGTGGTAATAGGATGCTGCCCACAGGACACTGTGGGCTGGTTGTTTTTGGTTGGTGGACTATTCTCAGTCCAGCAGTGACACTGAGGTGTTTAAAACCCCAGTAGCACTGCTCTGTCTGATCCACTGTAGGTTTAGGTTTAAGTTCTACTAGCTATCATGAAAGGCTGTGTAGGTTTGTGTTAAGTGTTCTTATAACATTTTTGCATTTGACAGCTCTGCAGGACAGAAGGTTCAGGACTGTTACTTCTACCAAATCTTCATGGATAAAAAGGACAAAGTGCTTGTGCCTACTAGCCAGCAATTGCTGGAGTGGTCCTTCATCAACAGTGACCTCAAATTTGCTGAGGTGAGCACATATATACACACAGTGTAGAGGAGAACTAAGTGTCCAGACACATCGAGCTTATGAAGAAGAACTCGTGCCAACTTAAGCCGACTGATGATTGCCTTATGTCAGCTCACCATCACTTCTAGTCTCCTGTGATAGTTGCACTCAAACACAACCATTTTCCAGTCTTTCTCTATCCCTCAGAATTAAACCGTTTTTAATTTATTTTTTATTATGCCTTGAAGAATGATATGTAAATTACCTCTGTTCGAACTAGCTGCCCTGTACTGTACGTCAGTCAAAAAGTTTTTTTTTTGTGACATCACAGAAATGATGAATTCAAAACGAGCTGTTGCAGCTTGGTTTATGTATGGACTGCATGGACTGGGGAGATCATTTTTGAACCCTGCCTTTTATTTAAAAAAATAAAAAGGGAAAATGTTTCCATGATATGGGCCTTTAGAAATCCATGATGAGGATCCTATGCTTATGCCTATATTAGTGTGTTACCAGACCACCTGCAGTGCTTTAGTGCGTCATAACTATTACATTTATTCTCGTTGAGAACACAATATTCAAATATAATTCATTCAGAAATGTGCCCCGAAGCTGTCTGACGGCGTGCGACGGCCAACATTCGGCTTGATGTGTCAGGGCTCTAAGACTTATTGTTCTACAGACATGTAAACATTCCTTTCCTCCTCTCTCCTCCTCATGGTCCAGGCTCCGTCCTGTCTGATCATTCAGATGCCTCGGTTTGGGAAGGATTTTAAAATGTTTAATAAGATTTTTCCATCCCTGGAGCTGGACATCACAGATCTTCTGGAAGACAGTGAGTCACTGACTAAAACTCATTTAGCTGTGCTTTTGCACCCTAATTAAAGGACTGTAACTAAATGATGATTATATCCATATGTGGTGTAGCATAACCACTTATTGTCCTTTTGCCATTGTTCTTGCGTAATGATTAATTTTAAGTAATCAATCACTTTTTTGTGGCAAAAAGGCAAGGCTTCTTTGGCTATTGCCAAATCTACACTGGGCCTTGCATAGCTAGATTTGCTTTGTAGAGGACATCAGTCTAACACTGTGTAAACAGTATGCCCTTGAAGGTGAATTCCACCAATTTTTCTGAATTTATGCATAATTCAATCCATGAGATATAAACCAAGTCATCTTGAGTGTTCTGATATGAAGTGGCTCATTGTAGAAAAATTGGACTTCTTTACAGTGGTGGTGATTGTAACCAGGGGTCCTGATGTTTTTAATGCAAATATAGCCATTTTATTTATAATCCAAAGTGACCAGTGGACCTACACGTGTGTTCTGGGTTCTATATGTAATGTTGACAATGCTAATAAACAAGTACAGAACACCTATGTCAATATGTCAGGTACTATAGCTTATGGCACCTTGTGAATACTTGCATAAGTGGCTCATAAATACTCAAGTATTGCTTTATAAATACCTTTTATGTATGTAGCCTTCAAATTAAGTGTTACCTAGTAAACTGGCCGATTTCCGATTTCACGTTTGGAACAAAAATTTGCAGATTCCAGTTTTGACCAATTCCAGTTGCACATCAATATCAATAAAACAACAGTTATAAGTCAGTTTTCAGTCTTCTGAACAATCAAAATCTATGTGTGTGTTTGCAGCACCCAGAGAGTGTCGTATCTGTGGGGGTTTAGCTCTTTATGAGTGCAGGGAGTGTTATGAAGATGCTGACATCACAGCTGGGAAGATTAAGCAGTTCTGTGAAAAGTGCAATACGCAGGTAAAACACACGAACACCCAACCCCCACCCCCCATCCCAATACACACTCATGCTGTTGCAGCACTTTTCATTTTGTGCAGTATGCAGTACCTCAGCTAAACACTAGATGGAGACTTTTGTACAGTTTTCTAAGTGATAGTTCTACAGTTCTTGAGTTCTGTTCAATTTCACCTCTCTAATGAAATGTAACGTCTCTTACTCTGCATAGTCTTCTTCTCTCATCTGTATTTTCGGAGATGTTTTAACCATATCGAACTGAGCGTCCTGCCGGCGATTCATTTGGAGAATTTCGCGATGGCCTATTATTGTTTAAGTAGACTTGTTTAAATCTGCATCCAGAGGACTTATGGCACTTAAATGTTCACGTTTGGGCAAGTTAAATACTCATTCAGAGCACAGTTCAGTTCATTTGGCGCTTGTTTATATTTATCAGGTTAATGGTAAAACACGTTTGATGCGCAATGTAGTTTGTGAAACAAACAAAGTAAAAATCTATCAATTTTCTGCTTTGTTAGATCATGTTTTTTTACAACTCGAATAAATACATTAGCAGCGTTGAGACTTCATGTTATTAACAGAGGAGAGCCGATTACACGCCAGAAACAGCCGCGTTTTTGGATCGGCCTTAAAAGGCTAAAAGAATAAAGCTACAGCCTGACTCAGCCTACCTCAGTCTGCAGAAGAAACATTGTGTTCTGTTTACTTTTTGACGGAGCAGTCAAGATACCATTTCTTACAAAATACAAAACCGGAATACAAAAACTGAACAAAGAAAAATATGTGAGTAGCCGGTGCTGCTGCTTTAAGCCTGAATTCACAAAAGCTAAAGGTGCTCAGATCTTTTTGGTATATGACAGATAGTAGAGTCAGCTAAGGCTGTAACAAGGTTTAAACTACTTTTACAAATATTCTCAAGCTTAACGAATTAGCATAGTTTTCTTGGAACAGTGGCTGCACTACTATACTGTATACTGTATATTACTGTGTGCTATGAATATGATTGCTGACAAATAATGCATAATATCTGTGATTTTGATGTACGAGTTTAGGAACACATTTTGTATATTTATTCCTAAATTTCCACGTCTGTGTTTGAATGCAGGTGCATCTGCACCCGCGGCGCAAGAACCATCGGTACGGTAAGCTATCAGTGCCTAAAGAGCTGCAGGAGGGGGTCTGGCGACAGGGTTCCTTCCCCCACCAGCAGATGGAACTGTTCGCTGTGCTCTGCATCGAGACCAGCCACTACGTCGCCTTCGTCAAATACGGCGCCGCCGACTCTGCCTGGCTCTTCTTCGACAGCATGGCTGACCGAGACGGTATGTGGAGTTTTTTTTTATCATGATTTAGAACTGTTTACAACACGTATAAAGCCAGACTGAAAAATGCTAGTCTGATTACAATAAGTCTGACTTTCATATACAGTACTGTGTTAAAGTCTGCATCTGAGAAAGCAACGTCTAAAATCATTTATCTGGGCAGAAAGCATTTAATTGTTTAAAAAAACACCAACAAGAATAAATACAAATAAACTGATTTACAGTACATTGTGATTTGATCTGTGTGAGTATGTTAGATAATCCATTTCCAAACTACTCTTCAAGGAAGCCCAGTATTTATCTTTCAGTTTACAGTACCATCAAATACCTGGCTTGGCTAATCAGTGCATTATTAAGTTAAATGAAATGTGCTGCTGATGGAATTAAACATATCCAGCTAGAGTGTAGCAAGAAGTCAGGAACCAAAACAGTGTTCCTCTGTATTCTTCTAACCAACATATTAATTAATTAACTTTACTGAAAACAACACATTCGCAGTTTTTACCGTATTTATGTTTGTGTTTATTCTAATGTTGTTTCACTGGCAAAAACACAGTTACTGCCAAGATAAATGGTGGTAAATAATTTTGTGGCTGTTTCACAGTGTACTGTAGGTTTCTTCAAAATTTCTTTACAAATGTAGTGGGAATTACAAATAATCATTTCAGTTTCGATCCTAATGACATGTTGATATTTGACAAATGCATACATATGTTTACTGTCTGAAGTTTGCTTCTTGGTTAGTTAAGTAGAATTCAGTGCTTTTCTTTCCCTTTTATATGAATGAGTGTTCTGCGTTGTGATCTGTGATCTGAAACTCCAGCAATGGCTTTACTTCACTTACACATGCAGCAGTGAGTTGTTCTGTGAGTGACTCACACTGGCCTGCCGCTGCATGGGAAAAACGTCATCAGAAAAAGTATTTTTCATTCTTAGTGTTATTTTAATGTCTTTCACAGCATGTTGTTTTTGCTGGGCAGTTGTGATTTTGCTGCAAGAGAGAAAGAAAAATGGTTCAATGGAGTAGTAAGCGAGGAAGGTATCATTTGTCTTTTAGCCAGTCCCCCTCAAAGACAGCCTCAAAAAAAAAAAAACTTAAAGCTGAAACTCTGCAAAGCAGGCGCTGTAAGTGTGGCTCGAGTTCGAGGCTCTGCTTCAGCTCTGAGCATTTGAGCGTTAAAAGGAGCAAACAAACCATGAGTGACCATGAGCTCTGACATGTTACGTGCCATTAATGTGTATGTTTTCCAAACATATACATGCATGTGAAAGTTAGACTTCCACAAATGAAAACTGTGATGCTCCCAAAAGAAATTTTTTGGCCAAAAGTGAAATTCAGTACACGCTGGCCAGAAAACTAAAAAACAGCTGACAATGAATAAAATAAACAGATAATAGAAAAGAAACTTCCTAAAAATTGTACAGGATATAGGTTACAGTGTGTGTAGTGAAATCCAGTGTCCCTGATAGCAGAGAACGGTGGTCATCCAAGGCAATGAATTCCATTATTTTTAAGCTAGGTTGTGTGTCCTGGCACTACCATTTGTGAATTATTTATAGTGATTTCAAAACTTTTCCTTTCTCTCTCTGTTTTGCTGTGTTCTGTGTATTGAACAGGTTTTTCAAGTGATTCTGTTCTTTTGTTATACCCTCTCATGATACATGGCATGAGCAGAGACTATAAATCGCTTGTTTAGTGTCCTTTTAATTTGTACGATCTGTGAAATAATTTCACACACTTCACATTCAGCAATCAGAACAGCAGGAAATAGTTCAACACACAACATTTTCACTATTTTCTGCTGTTCAAACATGTCTGTGCTGACCGCTGCAGGATCAAAAAAAATGGATCAAAAGGCGTTTTATTATCATTTGTTACCATAAAAATAATTCGTAAAGCCGTTTTACACTCTGTTGTAAGTCAGTTTCATCTTTGTTTTTTTTCCCTCTTTCTTTTTGGCAGAATAACAAAAATGGTAGAAAGGCTGAAATTTTGGTGCATCCCTACAACTGTCATAGATATACTGAACGTTACCGTAAAATTACCCATGAAATATTGATTTTCATTAATAAACTTGTTCCAGCTTCTCACTTTTTAAACTGCTTATTATCCCAGCCCTAGTTAAGGTGCAAATTTGACATTACATGAAACATTTTAAGTTTATATGGATCATTCTACCAAATTGGTCAGAGACCATTTCGGACTTTTAACTGATTTAGACTTTAGACCAAAGTGCTTTTGCTTTGAGTGACCCTATACTTTAATTCTGTTTATTTTATCAAATCAAATGATTGAACATATATAGTCATTCCCATTTTGTCACTAATAAAACACTCATAACACTAGCAAAACATTACCAAATGTTTCAGTAGTGATTTGTAGTTCATTTTGAGCAGAACTCAAAAATGCTTAGTTTGTACATGACTAGCAAGCACAGCGTTGAACAGCTGTACACACACAAACTCATACAATCTGTCATTAAATCACAAAACATTTACCTAATTTAGAAAATGTGTTTCAGTAGTGACATTTCTTAAGGTTAATCACTGGTTTTCAGGCTTTTTGCTACACATTTACTATGAAACAATGGGATCTAACTGCTCACTATGAGGGACAGGGAGCAGTCACTTCCTGCTCTAAATGCAGGGGTGTGGCTAAAATAAGGCTTCGCCTATGTGTTATTTTTTCCAGCTTTCAACTTCACTTTAAAATAATTTTAGGGATTATGGTTTAGAGCAGTCACCTCCTAGTAGAAAGTAAACTATAAATGATGATTTTGTATATATTTGGCTTATTACTGTATCGATGCCTTGGGTTTAAATAAATAATAACAGAATCCGGGTAAATATGTTAAATACTTAATTGTTTTTTTAAATGTTGTTTTTTTTTTATATATGTATTTTATTAAGTGAGAGTGCAGTTTGAACTAATTCAGTAGGATGGCAATACTCAAACGTCTGTGACTCATTTATTGTGTGTTTGTGTCCGATCAGGTGGACAGAATGGTTTTAACATCCCACAAGTGTCCCCGTGTCCTGAAGTGGGGGCGTACCTGAAGATGACTCCAGAGGAACTGCACGCCCTGGACCCCAAAAACATCCAGGGCTATGCCCGCCGCCTGCTCTGTGACGCTTACATGTGCATGTACCAGAGCCCCACCATGAGCCTCTACAAATAGACGAAGAGAATGGAAAGAAGGTTTGGGATTGAAGCCAAATAGGAAGAGAGACGTACAGAAAGAGAGAGAGAATTGGAAGGGGAGAGAGAGAGAGATGGAGATAAAAAGACAATAAAAAGCTGACAGGTGAAGAGAATAAATGATGGCGGCACACTGCACAAGATGCCTGCTCTCTCGTGACATTGCAAAGAACCAACACTCCCTAACCTGTCGTATCATTTATGCCTGATTCTCTCTGTATATAGTCAAAAAGTATGAACAGGGCAAGGGGAACGGAAAAAAGCTGATTTGCACTGTTTTTGTGTGTGCGTGTTCTGTATATGTATGTATGCGTGTATGTTCGAGTGCTGTTGTTTCTGTCCTCTGTGTTGTAGGCCGTGGATGAACACCAACCCCAAAAAAAACCCCATAGTGACTTTGTTTTATCGCCCCAGTATATGACAAAGAAACTGCTGTAATAAATACTCATTTGAAACGCAGCTGTAACAGGTGATCTATAGCACATCTATACCAGCCACTCAGTGTGCATGGGACACGACTCATCCCTGCTATCCTGCCGAATGGATGGACATGTCTCTCTCTCCCCCCATATAAATGGAACAGGGCTCAACCAGGAGTCCTCATCCTTCAACCTTTGTACCTATAAACCCATCTATAAACGCATCAGATGCACGGCAGATCTGTCGACTGTAGTTTATGATACCTGGTGTCTCTGCTACTGGTTTCAGCCTCCATATTTAGCTGTGATGTCCTTGTCCTGTGTACCAACCTACAGCACAGTATTGGTGTATGAAAGCTTGAAGGAGACACTTGGCTTGACGTCCATATTGAATGGAACTGAGATACTGTCATAAAGCACACAAGTATTTTCTGAATATGGTAACAGTTGGTGATTATTCAATCGGGAGTATTGAATGCTTTCCCCATTGAGCTCGGCCTATAAGAGAGGAGTTTAAAACAGGTATAATTGGCATTACCTGCTTCTGATATAGGTATATATGCATATAATGTGCTCTAAATTCTTGCTTATTTTAATACCAGCTAAATTATTGCTCCTTAAGTGCATCAGTGTATGTGAGGGTGGTGGCACGACCAAACCATGTTTTGGGGTCCCTCAGGAGAATAGCAATTGCATCTCATCTCATAAATCAGTCCTGGGTCAGAAAATACAAATGTTTTTGAAAGTCTTTCCATCCACAAATCAAATGGCTATATAATTTCTTGCAAATAACAGTTTAGAGATCAGCGGCTTCACTCTGTTACAGTACTGCAGTGAAATGTAAATGGTATGTTTTCTACTGAGCAAAAATGAATTGGGTCGGCGTCATGTATCCTGTGAAAATCAGCACTGTATAACATATACATGCCATCATTAATGAGATGGCATGTATATTCATCATAAAGAGGCAACTTTATTTTTTTTGTTTAGTTATATATACTGGAAAATAAAACATAAAATATAAAATGTGCAGTAATTTTTGCACAAGCCATTTTTTTGTTTTATTTTTTTCCCTGTATGTTACATTCAGCAGATAAACAATAGTTGCACATTAAATTGTGTAAAACTTTAACGTACAACTGTAGCTTTACATTCGATAAAGCAAGACTAATTATGCTGTCTCAGGCTATGTTCATGCTACCAGTGTAAAGTGACAATTTTTTTGCCTTTGGTGATGGATGATTGGATGTTTTCAGAGCTGCATGGGCACAAATCTGGTCTTTTCACATCAGATTTAAACTACTTTCTTATGTGGTCATAGATACATATCCATTTGATGGCCATGCGACCAGATCAGAATTCATATTGGGTTTCTTTCATTTTTTTCATTTTTTTTTTTTTTTCCCAAAAAATATGCACCGTTATTTAGTGTTAACATGGCAGCTTAACTTGAAGTTTACACCTATAATCACTGCAAAAGCAATGCATCTGATCTTTTATCTTATTATCTTCTCACAAAGGCTTGTTCTGCTAGCTTGATTGTATGTTGTTGGTCATGATGTACGTGGCTTATTCATATGACCTGAGTTGGAGGTGCACATGCAGGTCATTTCAAGGCACAGGTTCGTTCACATTAATGAAATACGAGTTAATTTCTCATGCTAATGTGAACCGTCAAGTTGGAAAGATCGGATCTAAAAAGTTGAACGTAGCCTTGGACTGCCGCAATTGCCAGGATTCAATTGCTGTCTCCTGAAAATAAGGCAAAATTACCACATGGAGTCCCTTCGAAACCCTTCGAGTCCTTTCCCTTATTTTAACAAAACATGCAGTTGGTCAGTGTTGTGGAAGTAGTGACGTTTATCGTGATCACGATATATCGTCATTATCGCCCAGTCCTAAAGAGATCAAACGTTTTGTGTGTTTTTGGAGTGTTGATCTATGGTCAGTTTTTGTCTTTTATACTTTGCCATATTTATGAAGGAGAATTTTTTCCAGACTGGTCAGTTTCCTCACGTCCATATAATCATATTCATTATGTTAAACAGGATAAATACCTCACCCTGGATCAACACTCGTGGCCTAATGTTTCCAGAAAGGTCTTCATTTATACTGTAGCTCATTCCGGGATTCAGCATCACATGATCATCACTGAGGCAGTAAAGCTATCTAATCATGGCATAACCAGTGAAGGTATTGACACAAACTTGTGTAATGGCCGCACAGACCAGGCGTTGCTCATTACTGGACAGCATGGCTGAAGCTGGTGAACTGTACAGGCTGGTGATGGAGATTTCATGTTGTTCAGGGAGAATAGGCTGTAACTGGTGTACCTGTTCAAATCGATCCCTGGTTAAGTTTCTTCTGTTTGTGCCGTTCTTGTAAATGTTAACTAAATTAAAACCCTCTTTTGAAAAGAATGTTTTTGTGATGGAGTGATCTTGGATGTGTGGCTGGCCATTTAATTTCAAATCAACTTGGCTATTACATGCAAGTTATTTATTGTTCAGTGTCAGGAAAGAAAAAAGCAAAAAAAATGTTTAGCAGAAAAATACACAAAAGCTCTTCAGTAAAGGGAATGGTTCTATATAGAGGCTATCAGGCTTAAATGGTTCTTTGCATGGTGAAATGTTCTTCAGATTGATGGAGAATGTGTTTTATACAAGAATGTGTTTTAAAAGCTTGAATCGAAACAATAGAAGAACCTTTTTGGTGCTATATACCATAGAACCATATCATCGCTCTGCAAAGAAAAATAGGTATCTCAAAAAAAAAAAAAAAACTTTACAGGAGAGGGCAAAAACAGCAAGAACCTGGGTTCGGTTCCCCGTCTAGGCGACCAGAGTCCTTTCTGTGTGGAGTTTGCAGGATCTCCCCGTGTCCGCGTGGGTTTCCTCTGGGTGCTCCGGTTTCCTCCCACAGTCCAAAGACATGCAGTCAGGCTAATTGGACAAGCTAAATTGCCCTTAGGAGTGAATGTGTACGTCTGTGTGTCTGCCCTGTGATGGACTAGCGACCTGTCCAGGGTATGCCCTGCCTTCCGCCTGATGACTGCTGGGATCTGACCCCTAACCCCGACCTCCCCCCAACCCCAGCCTCCCCCCGTAGCACTGTGGTACTTCTATCTACTTTAAAGATATTTTGATACTTGCCACTCGCCCCTACTTAAGGTGTCTGGCGACGACATGAGAGAACCTAAAGAACCAGCAACTAAACTAGTTAAACTAAAAAACGAGTGAAAATGCGCAGTGTTGTTGATACAGCACTGTTGCTCAGCTGTCCTCTTCTTCACCTGACCTCAGAGGTCGATTTTCCTGCATGTCCATTACTGCCAGTGGCTTTGCAGGTGTGATGGGGCTCTCACCTGCCATCAAGGTTCATGTCGCATTAACATGGTGTCACAGCTAGGGCAGGATGACAGTTCAACCACACGGACTGGACATCTGGGACACATCTGTCCTGTGGACATAGACACCTTATCCAGTGCAGGTATGTTGTGTTGTTTATGTGTTTGTTTGTTTGCCCCTGCCTCCAAGCCAGAATTCCTTTGACTCTCAATAGCAGTCACTTTCAGAAGATGCTCAGGATGCATCTGCCTCTTAGCAAGCCCCCCACATGCTCATACACACACGCCCTTGCCCTATTAGTTGCTGCCACTCATATCCGTCCTGGCTCACTGACTGCACAAGTGCCACATGAGTATTTTGTCAGCACAGCAGCTGGCACACAATGCCCTCTTGTAGCTTTATGCCACAGCATATGCCCACCGTGCGATATGTGCTAATTTAGCCCTGCGCTGGTACCTATAGCAACAGATGGAGCGCTGCATTGTCATTCTCACCCCCCAACCTGAGGCCTCAGGGGGACGGACGTGAAATAAAATCAAAGCATATGGATCTCTCTCTCTCTCTCTCTCTCTCTTTCTCTCTCTCTCTCTCTCTCTCTCTCTCTCTTTCTCTCTTTCTCTCTTTCTCTCTCTCTCTCTCTCTGTGTGTCATGTTTATGAAAAACAGTAGATCTCTCAAAATTCAGAGCCTGCAGGAATGTAGACTAGTTGGGAAATCTCTATGCACATCCATTAGGTACAAATAAATCATTTTTGTTATTTTATAAACAATAGTTATACAGCAGGCTAAATTAATTTGTCTTGTGCAACTTCACAGCTTTCAAATAACTTGTAGAAAACTATAATTAAATAAATAAATAAGAAAGCTAGATGTGTGCAGAATAATAAATTCTAAACTTAGATCTAGATTGTAAAATGACTTAAAACTGTGTAATATCGATAATTTTTATTTATATAGCACTTTTCATGCTGGTGGCAGCTTGAAGTGCTTTACAGACAGGTGATAAAGCTTAACAGTAATACAAGAAATTATAAGTATTAATTTAGAGTCATATAAGAAAATGACACAGATCCAATAAAAAAAAATACATACCACAAGATGTAGAGTTTTAATTAAATGGTGAGTTAAACAGACACGTTTTAGATGCGTCTTAAAAGTGAGCACTGAGCTTGACTATCTAATAAAAGGTGGAATTGAGTTCCACAGTTTAGAAGCAGAATAACTAAACAAGGCCTCTCCATGTTTTCTGTATTTGACTGTATTTCTTGGTGAAGAATTTAAATGAATACTATTCATGAACTTACTAAAGGAACGGTTCAGCAAAAATGCAAGTTTTCCATTTAGTCGACCAGCCAAGACATACTTGTTAGTCTCATAGCTCCAGCGCTAAAGATGCAAAATGTCACAGCAGATCAACTACATCTGGGCTAAGAGGAAAATTGTTTAACTTTGATTTTTTTACTGAACTGTTCCTTTAAAATGTCTTGTATTTGCACTTATGTAATGGCTTATTTTTGTGTTCTGTATCTTGGTATCAGCACTGACTCTAACTGTTTAGCTCAAGAGTATTTGATGTATTTGTAGCAGCTAAGAATACATTCTCTGAGTGAAGAACAATGCACTTAAGTAAGTTTTTTGGGATAAGAGCATCTTCCAAATGCCATAAATATAAATGTAAATATAACAAAACCCCAAAATTATTATATAACAAGTAATTCTAAGGTTTTGAAGTCTAGTGTAAATACTATATACTAGTCATATATGTCCACTCTGCCCTGAACTGAGATAGCAGGCAGATCACTTTTGGCCAGACATTTTCCATTCATGATACACACTACACTGCACCAACTACTACACAGCCCAGCACAAACAATGCATATGCACATCATTAAGATAACAACTTATTCACAATAAATGTCTCTCAATCCGTGAGCATGGTGCCTATCCACAGCCCTACGACTGTAGTGTAAATTTGAGATGTACCATTGCATAAGATTGTACTTGCTATGTCTACCAAATGCATACAGCTAAACATTTAGTAAAGCACAACACTGCAATACGCCTAAGCTTGCGAGTCTTTAAACCCCGCTCACTTTGGAACAGCACTTACTCCACGCATACTTATTATGAAAACAGACTAATAATACAGGCACTGAATGCATGGTGTGATAACATCATTTTGCTCGTGGCAAATGAACGCCTCATGATAGAAACTCCATCTCCCTAGATTTAACACCCTCTCCTGTTCCCAAGGGAAAAAAAAGCAGCGCACAATGACCCTCCTTCATCTTAAACGAGGGAAATCACTGTTTTCCTGTTGGCTGAGTGAAACTCTATTGCTTTACTAGGCCAAGTTGAGACAGAACAATTTCAAGCCAATCAGCCCTAACGCAATGTACCACTTATGATTCGCTTTAACTCCAGCCTGATAACAGCTTTTACGCTCGGCCTTCAAAGCTCAGATGATTATCTAGATTATGCTGGGATGATCAAGACTGATAGCATTAACCTGGCTGCTTCTACGGTTCTCTGCCAAAGTCTTTCACACCAATATGTCTTAATGTCTGTGATCAGACTTAACTCAATTCACTTGATCTATTTTGAATTTAAACATAGTCCACATTTCGAGACTTCTCAAAGTTAAGATCCTTTGGGGTGTCAAGAGGTTACTTGCAAAACGTGCATGATGTCGCGCAGGTCACGTTGTATGTTGCACACTCCAGTAAAAATAAAACAGAGAAGGGAAACGGCAACTAAAGAGCCCACATACACACCAATCTGTCTATATTCGTGTGCTTAAGTGATGTTCTATGCATTTAACTATATACAGTGCAGATAGTACTGTAAAAACTGCTGCTCAATTTCGAATTTAGGACAAATATATGATCAAATAATTTCACTGTGTCTATTTTTAGTCCCCCTCTCCCACTTCTATGTGCCATTTTGTCCCATAGTAAATTTGTTCCCCCTCACTTGACATGAGAAACACATTAACAGCACTTAGCTTGTGACCTTATGACCTCTTCAGTCATTTTTGTCCTTTTGAGATGCCCGCTAAGTCTTTGTTTCAGCCATTTTCAGTTCTTTTGTGATTGGATTTCAGTGAATGAAAGCTTGCTTGCTTCCTTGATTGACTGGAAAGATTGACTCGACCAGTTTTAAACCATTTTTTCACTTGACTCACTTGGTTTGACACGTCTTTTTCACATAGTGTAACTTCTAAATTTAGGATTTTCTTTCACATATGCAAGCAGGATGCTTTTGCATGCCTCTGGTAGGGAGAGTGAGGCTCAAATTTAACATAGATATTTTAAGTTAATTGTTAACTCATTTTAAGTAGCCATAAAATGCCATTTCTGCCTGTTTTGGAGGCCCCTCAGATTTTACATTATACATTTTTTCCTTCAACAATGTTAATGGACTATATTTTGAAGGAAATGTGTATGATTTACAAAAATGGAAGCAAACTGGATTTTGATCAACACAGATGAGCAAGTGAGTCAATGTTTGTGAAAGTGTTTGTATTGTGTTTACATTGTGTTTAAAAGCAGGGGGTTCTTCCACCTCCCCCTTTACCTCTCATTGCTCACTAGCAGCTTAACACAGAGTCACAACATGCACACACAGAGCCAACAGTGTCCAAATTAATATGATAACAGAGTTACAGTGAAAAATATTTTATTTGAATATCTTAACCTGTTTCTAATCCGTCATTGGAATGGCTTTTAGGGGGGCTACAGAAAGAGGTTAAATAGGGTGCAGTGGAACAGCTCATATTCCCATAACAACATCATTTGTGAATTTTTACAACAATCATACAAATATTTCTTGACATTAATGCTGAATTTTGTTTGATTACTGAGTTGTGTGTATAAATCAAAGAATTCATACCTGTATTGTTTTAGTCACCCTTTTGGTTGCGGTAATAAAGCACTGGTTTAGAGCATGTAAACAACCTTTAGTGAGAGCTAGCCAGACCCACATGTCCATGTAGAGTTTGTCAACCAGTCATATATGTTTTGATTAGAAATAACATCTTAATTTTGTTCTAAAAGGAGATTTCAGTCTATTTT